TTGGTGTTTCTGTTTCTATGAGTTTGGTATTTATTTGTTTTAAATTTCTACTATTACATGCCACACACTGTTCTACAATTGAAACTATATCTTTTAACATATTTCGCCAATAATATTTGACCTTTATAGTTGCAAAAAGTCTCTTTATTCCAAAATGACCAAAATTATGATAATTAGTTAGTATCATTTGTTGCAATTGCCTAGGGACAAAAAGTCTTAACGAAGGTCCGTCGTCACAATTCAAAATGTAATAAATGACATTATCTAATTCAATATGATGCCTCTCTTTATTTATCGACAATTTATTTATGCTGTAATTTTGATTTAAGTAAAGCGATTTCTGGATCATTTTCTTGTTCGAATTGCATGTTTAAGTTTTCTAAGTTTTTAACTGGTTCAACTATTAATTCATTTGGTTCATCTGCTAATTCGCTTATTTTCCTGACATCTACCTGATTTGTATTAATTGCATTGCATTGTTTAATTTCATACATGTTATCTGGAATATCACTGAAAAATTCTGACTCTGTCTCTGATTTCATTGTTTTTACCTGTTTCTTTGCTGGTCTCTGAAATCTGCCACTACATTTAATTTTCCCTGGATATGTTCTATTTTACAGTTATAAGTTGATAACACGGCTGCCCATCTTTGTATTTGTTTATTGTTAAAAGGCTTATCTAGAATGTGGATTAATGATTTCTTATCAGTATAGATAGTGAATTCTGCGCCATGTAAATAATGATGTAGTTTATTAACACAGTAGAAAATTGCCAAACATTCCTTCTCAACTATAGAATATTTTCGTTGCGTTTTATTAAACCGGTGTGATATGAAATAAATTGACTTCTAATTTATATATTAAGAACCTTGGTCGTCTGGTTCGCAGTCCTGACTTAAGAACCCGGATAAACATAAATCACTAGAATCGCAATTTCCATAGGTTCCTGCCCTTGAAAAAGGTGATATTCAGATGATTGTTGGTTATTTTGAAATCTCAAATTAAACTTAGCTCTTAAATTTTGTTCATTCATAGCCGATCGAACTGCATTTTGAAAGGTATCTGGATTATCTCTCATTACTTTCATCTTGAGATAATTTTCACGTAAACCGTCAGTAAAGAAACCGATAATCTGTCTTTCAATTAAAGCTTAATTCCCATCAGTTCCCCTATAAGCAATTTCCGCTAAATAATAATCGTTCAGCAAAAATTTGAACATTTTCATTTTTGTGTTGCCTCATTGAACGTTACAATGAAAATGCGTATTGTGGATCTCGAATAGTGTCAAAACCTTGAACCTAATTCTGTTTTGAATTCAACCCATGTGCTGTCAGGGTGATCTCTTAAATGTCTACTGATAAAATCACTAACCAAATTTTTACTTGACTGATACGCGACAAGCTTTAATCTTTCCTCAGGTACCCTCGTTAATACCCCAAATTTCTCAATACTCTTAATCCATAATTTAAATTCCCCCGGTTTACCATTAAAAGCTGGGATAACTTGGGAAATACTTTGTGTACCCACATAAGCACTGACATTACTAAGTTCCCTACCTAAATTCTCAAAAATTCTAGCAATATCTTGTTCTGCCATAGTCCTAAGCCAACAAAAAATACAAAAAACAGAGGATATAAAACTCACGGGTCTCGTGTCTGGTTCCGCTGAAAACTGGTTCCCGTGGCTGATCGAATAATGGCCCCCTTCGTCGTTGTGTTCCGCAAAAAACTTCTGGTGTATCGAATCCTGTAGTCACTAGAGCACAAAATCGTCCCTTGTAGTGTAACGCCCAGATCTGAATAACTCAATATTAATAAGTCAACACAATATCAAGTTTATAAACGTCAGATATATGTTTTTATTTAGTAAAAGATATTATTCTATAAAACAATTGCTTAATCAGTGTCTTTAATAATTTCACAATTCTTAAACAAATACGTAAAGCAATAAGAATTAATGTCAACTGCGTATCTAGCATAATTTAACATGAGTGAGTGAGTCTATTTAACATCAAAAACCATACTGGAGAAAGTAATATTTTGCTAACCTTAAATAGTAAAATATTATACGCTTACCCATAATTCATAAGTGCAAATATGCGTTTCCGGACAGCTAACAATTAAATTAACAATTATGTTTACACCCTATCGGTACAATCACCGCTTATGTGATGACATGCCCATCAATTAACTAAATTAGGCATATCTTACTCGTGTGTCCTGTCACAGCTCTATCATAATCAATATATCTTATTAATATTGAGTTATTCAGATCTAGGCGTTACACTACAAGGGAAGATTTTTTTCAAGTTTATAAACGTCAGATATATGTATTTATTTAGTATAAGATATTATTCTATAAAACAATTGCTTAATCAGTGTCTTTAATTATTTCACAATTCTTAAACAAATACGTAAAGCAATAAGAATTAATGTCAACTGCGTATCTAGCATAACTTAACCTGAGTGAGTGAGTCTTTTTAACATCAAAAACCACACTGGAGAATGTAATATTTTGCTTACCTTAAATAGTAAAATATAATACGCCTTAAACTTTATTAACCCATAATTCATAACTGCAAATATGCGTTCCGGACAGCTAACAATTAAATTAATAATTATGTTTACACCCTACCGTTACATGATGACATGCCCATCAATTAACTAAATTAGGCATATCTTACTCGTGTGTCCGGTGACAGCTCTATCATAATTAATATATCCGCCTATGTTTTGTTGACTAATTACCGTCTTCAAAGTTTACAAGTGAAGAAAGACATCCTTGTCATCGATGTATCATATTAAGCAAAAGTCGTCACTAAAGTAGAACTATCGAAGGTTCTTATCTGGAAAGATTTCTCAAATTTAAGTCTTTAAATATCAGATCCTGGTGAAAGTAGAAACAATAGCACAAACTGTCAAGTGAATTTAAAGTCATCAACATTAGCTACAGATTACGTATCCTTAAATATAGATAATAGAAAATGTAACTGGTATCAATTTTATTATCATGCCTTTGTTGTGATTTCAAACGCGATTAGATTTTGTCAGAAAAAATAAGTAGAAAACCCCCAGTTAAACATATATATATAATATCGCCTCTACCATTCAAATCCCTGTTTGTGCTTAAGCTATTTGCAACTAAGTATAAAGTACATCTACGGTAAATCATTTTAGGACATTTGGACATGAATTGATAAAGATTCATATAATATGGGACATTACATTGTGCATAAAGAAAAGATATTTGTCTGAAGGAATTAGGCAATTCAGTTACATATTTTTTGGGAAAAAAAATATTTTTTTAAATTCATCAACAAGTTGATTCAACGGTGATAATCATTATACACATTGTATATTTATTGTGTTTTAATTGCTGTAGCAATGCTTATGTTGGGAGAGTATTAAAGCTACATGCCTTTTATTCTGAAAGTAATCAAACATTTTTGTGCAGTCATTGGTAGCCCTTTTAAAAAAAAGATTTTATCTATTAACTTCAGAGCCGGTAAGTCCAGATAATCTTGGATTACGGGTAAATGCAAGATACACACGCACTATTCCCGATACCAAAGCAGAATATATCACTTCCGCCGTAGAACAGATCGCAGCTGACAAGATATGTGGATCATGTAAAATTGCAGCCACAGTTGAAAAAGGTAGTTTGTCAAAAAGATCATCTTTGTCTACAAAGTCTACAACTTCTGCTTATGGTGCAACAAATATATCCGAATGCTCACTGACAGGTTATATATTCCAGTACATTCACATGCTCTAGTCTGGTTATCTAAACGATTTAACATGTGATGATAAATCTTGTATGCTAGCATATTCAGTTGATTTTTGTTCAATAAGTTGCTCAGGTAGATAAGTGCATGCCTTCTTATAAGATAAGTATTAAATCGCACTAAACAATGCATTTCGCTATGTGTTTTTCAGTTTAACACGTATGTCGTATGGTCTCTTCAAAGTATGTAATGGCTGTTAATGCATATAAAGGAGATAAACAAACACCTTGATAATTAAGACAATTAATTTCTGGTGTAAACCAAAGAAACATAGTTCTCAAAGTGCGTACTTACAGTGCCGAAATACATAAATGACCAGTAGAAAAATACATGATAATGATTTACAATAACTACCTGTAAAGGACATTAACAAGCGCCTTAAACTCTTAGATAAATAAAAATCAACAATTTCTTGTGATAAACATATAAATATATTTATCAAAGTGGGCATATGTGAGATGGTTTGTCCGGGAAGTTTGTAAAAACTGAGGCCCGCATGCAAGTTATGTCTAAATAAAATCTAAGTTATTAGTTGTTAGGCTGAATAGGTGATGAATTTGGAATGATATAGGATGGTGGCTTGTTTATGGACTGTAAAGAAGCATAACACAAAAATAACAAGACAATTATATAAACAGGATATTACACAAGGACAAAGTGATTTAAAAATCATATTTGAAAGACCACCTGGCACGTATATAAGGTAATCTGTGATATTTACTTCACGCCTATCCATGATAATCTGGCTCGTTTAAGTTTCCCATGTTGGTCGTTTCATATAATAAGTAGACAAAACATTACATTAGTATACAAAATAGCATAAAACATTCATAAAGTACATATGTTTATGGTTGTTTTATTTTGAATTTTCAATTGCCGACTTCTTCTTTATACGCGTACATATTTCAGAATTAGTGGAGATAATTCCAAAGAACAAAGAAGACGAAAGCAGCGACAAAACATGTAATTTTGCTGAAATAATTTTTTCGTAAATTTGAATTTTTGTTTTTGTAATATGTAAGGTTATAGAAATATTTACATTATACAAAATTTAATTTTTAATTTCCCTTCAATTTATTTCGAGATTATTGTCAACACTATTAAGTTTCTCTACAATATTTACATAAAACAATTGTAACATAATATCTTTTCGATTATGATTTTTTTTCAATAAATAATGTTTTGTTATAATAAATATAAATAATATAATCTTTCAGTAACTATTGCGGTTCCGGTTGTTGTTAGTTTTGTGTGTCTCTTCATCATTATTGCAATCGTATTAATAGTATGTAAGAAAACAAAAAAGTAAGTACAGCATTTAAAACCAACAATTATATGCAAAAATGTGATTTGGCTATATTTCATTATCTGCTTATTTTTTAAGAAGATGAGAAAGAACATTTAATTGCCTTAATATGCATCAATGAAATGATGTGATCTATGGTAGTAAGAGGTTATATATCGAAGGTCCGTACGCAAATAATTGCACATTTATGAGACAAGTATGTAAACTGAGACCTCACTATTTGTAATACAATTTTCTAGTGATGTTGTGATAAGAATACTTATATTACCTTTACAACAACTCTATAATGACGCCATTCATTTGAAATATTATCTTACCACATATAAATACATTAAATTTTATTGTTACGAAATGCATTTATTACAAAGCATTAATAGAAAAAAGTAACTTTACAAAGCAACCAAACTTCATTAATGCTTTATTGTTTGGTACTGCTGCAGGAAAAAAGGTATCATCAGCTAATTTTGATTATACGCGTACTTTGACATACAATGTCCATATACAAGTACTTTGAAATACAATGTCCAGGTACTCGTATGCTTGCATTCATTAATTGATTCGAGTCACAAGTGTTATGCGAAAAAAAAGGTAAGATACCATACAATATAAAAAACAACAACAACAAAAAATATTGATATATGTATATCAAATTAGTCTTCTTTTTCATTTTTCAGACTTTCAGCTAGACAAGAAATCAATGGCAGCTTATTCAGCTTAAATATGATACGCCCAAATTCCAGCATTTCGTCTGATAATGGAAATGCAAAAGTAACATTCAATAAGAAAAACATTAAAATGGGGTTTTATTTTGAAAACGACTTGTACGATTAATGAAGAACATGGCCACAACTCCAATTGGTTGTTTTGATTTAAAACCAATGAAAATGTAAAGCGTGGGGACCATTTATTACTTATAATAATACATATTTCTGTTTTTCTAATTATTTATAATTTATTTTTCTGTATTTTTCCCCTTTTTTGTTTGTTTTAACCTTACGTACCAGATTGCATCATTATGTCTGATAAATACCTCATGAATACTTACTTTCATCGGTTACACCCTACAATATTTCTCTGGCACGACTTTGAGCGCATTGAAGAAATTATATTAGGAGCGGCGTTCTGTATGATAGCTTAATGGTTATAATTTGCTTGTTCGCAATTACTCGCAAAGCAATAAAGAAAATTTCCCAAAAAGTGAACGTTACAATATACTTGTGGCAATCGATAACCTTGGGTTAGATCTTTGTGCGCTATATTCGCAATGGAATCACACTAAAAAGTCTTATGGTATTTGAATGACGGGCAACTGAAACTGGTCTTGTTTACCTAACAGTGTACACTTTATCACTGGTTCAAAAAACATATATTAAGAACAAATAAGTCACCGGTCAAAACACGACCATTTTCCTCTCGGGTTAGAGCTTTGTGCTTTATATTGCGTGAAGAAAAAGGCTAAAAATTATTGCAATTGCTTATCTCCAGTAAGAAAGCAAATTTAAATATTTCACATGAATGTTAGAATTAAATTACTCAATTAATAATTATCAGAGTAAACCCCCAGTAAATACCAAAGATCGTAATAAAAATCATGAAACTTGACCACAAATTTTTCAGATTTGTTGAAAATAAAATGAAATGGCAAATAAACGTTCATTTTCACTATAAACTCGATCGTATTTTCAAGTTAAATATACAATTGCATATATTTACAAAACACCTTTGAATTTTCAAGAAATCTTTCGAGTACATTTATTGAATCTTTTTAAGTCATTTATTGAAAAGTCTTTATTGAATACATGCAAATACATCAAGACCGGTGTAAATATTGTTATGTTTTTAATCGTATGTTTTGTAAACTTATATTGAAATAAAAGTGTATCTACTTTACGTGTTATGTCATCAATATCATATTCCCTATTCATTATTCGGCCATTAAACGTCGGTAGTCTTACCGTGGTTACTTTATTTTAATTATTTTGGTTTTCTTTATTATATAAATGTCGTTTTATAATATGAACATATTTAAAACAGCAATTTCACCAATATATTTTATGTTTCAATTAGTTTTTTTTTGGTCGATAGTTTCAAAGTTTTCTCTCTTGAAAAAATGTATCTCTTAAAACCCCGTCCGTGAAGACAGAAATAAAGCATTTGATTTAAAGAACCTGCAGATGAATATAACGGCACTTCCCGGTACACTTTCTTTTGTCATGTCGACTCTTAAAAGAGAAAATATATCTTTATAACATGTATAAAGAAAACTTAAAAAATAATCTTGAATTGAAGAATGAGGTGGTTTTGGGAACTTTTACGATTTCAGAAAAAATTGATGATGTGCATAATTGCTATATTTCTGACATGTTACAATTTAATCAACCGCGCAAATTATTTTCTCAGTGCATTCTAAAAAGCAACAACTTAGGACGTTTAAGACGGTTAAAAGTCTATATATCAAGAAAGTGAAAGGAAAGATGCATCAATAGCAATGACAACAATAAACAAGTAAGTTGTAGACTCATTTGGATCGGTGCAATTAAATAAATCATCCGCTTTACGACACGTTCTAAAGTGCAGCTGAAGTTTATAGGCAAATATCTTAAGTTTTAAACTCTTTTACATGTACTTGTATGGTACTAGAAAAAAGTTGTTCGTATCTTAATTTTGCAGTTTTAACAAAAATCTACATTTTACGGAAACACTATAGTTGTTTCTGCGGCCTATATTTTTATCAATCAATTATAAAATATTGTTACACTGACTCATTGTAATGTCCTCAGGAATCTCATGTGGTGAAAAAATCTTAAAAACATGATATCTTTGTTCATTAAAATTGCCGTAATGTTATAAAACATAATGAACTTATGTCAATAATTAAAACAGTCAATCTTTTCGAGAACTAAGAAAGAAAATATCGTAAAGTAATAAAAATGTAAGGGATATGCAAATTATAAACCCTTAGACGCACATTATGCCTCAGAATTCTTTTCTTTTCTGTAGAAAAGAGCAGAATTGTGTTAATAATGATGTAATGGATTCAGAAAATATGAGTTGCTTATCACATGAAAGAAATAGTGTTGAATGTGAAATAGTTTGTCATAGCAAAATGTAAACAAAGTGTTATTTTGACTTCAATAAAAAATACTACTTCACTTGCCAAAATACAAAAGAAGCAAAACAATGGCTCACGTATATGGACAATGCTTAACCTTTTAGAAATTGTAAAAGAACACCAAAAATTAAATGCTTTCGGAAAATAATAACAAAGGCTTTTTCTAGACTTTATGGGCCTAAAATCTAATATCGTTTATTTCTTGTAAGCCGTGATCGTGATTTATTGTTAGTGTTTATTTGTTTCACAAACCACCTTTTAATGAATAAAACAAGACATCGTTTTTTTATTTAAACAGTTATTACATCTTGACAATAATTCTTATTTCATACTTGGAGGTGGACAGATAGATCCGGGTTTGCGGTTTTTCAATGAGTAATTGTTTCGTACATTTAACAATCTAATGTGACACATCCGTTTCTTGTGATAACGTTTTTTACTACTTTGCCGATGTTAAAGCACAATTCAGCATATGTAACAACGTAAATAATATTTGTTGTTAGTGATTTACTTTATTGTTATCAAAATTAGATAAGAGTTGAAAGAAACATTTATTTGCTAGGCCAGAATTTTACATATTTTGGTGCACATTGTCCTAGTAATTTTTCGTCGTCTTGTTCGGTGGAAAATCGGACCAATTATTTACAAACGGACCAATTATTTACAAATAATTGGTAACAGTGGAGTATAGTGCTTTAAATAAGCGGAGTTACGCACTTTATTTTTTACGAAAATTTATTTTGTACTAGAAAATATTTTTTGAAAAGGCATACCTTAATTGCACATACTTGTACTTGTAGAAATTTAGCCGTGTACTCCATCCATAGGTAGGTCACATTGGTATGCCACCCTTTTTACTTGACTACCAAACCAGTGATTGTGCTAATGAAATTGAATCAAATGTAAATCATATATTTGTGTACAAAATTATAGTTTCACCATAAACATTTCCTATTTTGTTGATAATACTTCAAGTACTTATCTCATGTTTTTGTTTTTTTAAATATACCGATTCAAATACAGGAACATGCATGTTATTTTGTAACGCATGAACTAGTGCCCGTACAGAAAATTAAATTAGTCCGTGTAGAGAAAAGTTTCAAAGTTTATTTCAATAAAAACCATTAGGCTAAAAAGCCCAAAAGGCATACATATACAAAACTTTATGACGAACAGTTTATACATTTAACAATAATTTCATTTTAACAATATATCTTGCAAACATAATTTATTTTGGAGAAGGTTTTTTTCAACCTTATTCACCCGTACCAATTGTGACATATTTCGAACTAAATTTCAGGTTACCTCTTTCCAGTTTTAAAGTCAACCTTTTAACGAAACGAAACATAAATGTGACTGACTGGAGTGAGCATAATACTAAGATAAACTACATGACCAATGTACCTTTTTGTGTGATAAGACTATTGTGCTACATATGAAAGACAACTTAACACAATACACATTAATATCCATTATATAAATACAGCACAAAAAGTGATAATGCATTCGTTAAATTAAAATTTTACATGATTAACAATCTAGATACATATACCTTATTTCAATTACCATATAATATTTCGTTACGTTTTTTAAAAGCAGTATGTATGAAAGTTCCAAGCATTCTTACTATCATCTGATTTTCGTTATTCATCAAGTCTATAAATTTGTACATATTTGGCCGTCGCCAATATTTTGATAATATGTATTTATGTCTAAGTTCATTGTACAACTTGCATTCTATAGTTAAATGATACTCGTCTTCTAAGACGTTACAAAAGTTACATAATCTTTCATTTACTGGTATAGTCGCCGGTCTTGACCAACGACCTGCTTCTATTTGCAGTCTATGTGACGAAACTCTTAATCTAACAAAAGATTGACAAAATTTACTATTTGTAAAGTGTTCTAAGTAAGGTTGAAATCTGAAATTTGAAATAGTTCGATAAAACAATGCTCTACTAGAATTTTCTAATCTATCATGCCAATTCTGCTTGAACTGATCGTGTTATCTTTGTTAAGCTAAAAACAAAAAATAATTACTATTACCAACATTTTGTTGCAACCATACATCATAAAATCAAAGTGTACAAAATATGTTTTATCTAAAGAGCACCAATTTACTTTACTCGGTGCATTTTCTAAATCATTTTTGAGCATATTATTTTCTTCTGTATGTACAACTTTGACCCAATATTTTATTATGTTATAATAGTGTATTGTCTTAAAACTAAATCTACCTAGTTCACCGTAAATAAAATCATTTTGTGTGGTCTTTTTCACTCCAAGTACTTTCTTGCAAAACTGTAAATGTACCTTTTCTATAGTCAAATTTTTAGCAAAACCACACACTTTACTTCCATAATTTAGAATAGGAGCTACTAATTTATCAAATAAATCAAATTTATGCTTAGGAGTTATATATGTGAATTTATACAAATACTTGTTTAACTTAAAAATAGCTTTTTTAGCTTGTCCAGCTAGTGTACTTTGTGCTGTAGATAAAGATCCACCACTTGTGAAAACAATACCTTAATAAGTAAACTTACTAACTATTTCAATTTCTTCATCGTCGCAATAAAATTTAAGATTTCTAGGAATGGTTCCACCTCGTCTAAATATCATTACTTTTGTTTTTGTTGTGTTTACTTTCATTTTCCAAGATTTACAATAATCTGCTAATGAATTTATATTCTGTTGCAATTCTTCTGCAGAGTTACCAAAAATTACAATGTCATCTGCATATAATAATATATATATATTTTAAACATGCAAGCATCTATTCCCTGTGTTCCACTGTGGATGTAAATATCTTCTAAGTCATTGATACAAATTGAAAAGAGGAAGGGAGATAAGCATTCCCCCTGTCTAACGCCAAGCACGCATGGGAAATCACTACTTAAATTATTCATATATTTTACTCTTGACTTAATTGATTGATACATAGAATTCATGATATTTAAAATATTATCTCTAAGACCTAATTTTATTAATTTGTACCACAAATTCTCTTTAACCACATAATCAAAAGCCTTAGAAAAATCGACAAATAAAGCAAATAATTGTTTCCCTTGATTTAAAACATGATTAATCAGACTATTTAACACACTGTACTCATTTTTGACCGGAACCCAGTCTGAGCTTCAACATATACATTATAATTTTCAGCCCAATTCTTTAATCTATTGTTAAGTACATGCGTAAAAAGTTTACCCAGACAGCTCAATAGTGTAATGCCACGGTAATTATCTACATTATTAGCATTACCTTTTTTATATAAAGGGATAATATAGCCCTCTGACAAAGTCTCAGGAAAATATCCGATATCAAATATTCTATTAAAAGGCTTATGTAATACAGTCACTAATACAGTTTTACCATTCGTAAAAAATTCATTCAACAAATAGGCTGGACCACTAGACTTATTATTCTTTAACTGTTTTATAGCATGATTTATTTCATCATATGAAAAGTTGTTGTTTAATTTCTCAAACATAACATTAAACTCATTATTCTCATAACGTTCTATGAAATGTATGACATCCTCATCTGGAACAAAAAATCTACTGTCAGGATTATTTATTGCCTTAAAGTACATTTCAAAGGATGACAAACTTAAGATAAATTTGTAGTTTTAACACATGCAGTTTTTTTAGCCATGTTCCAATATAGGCGTGCATTTTCAAACCTAGCATTAACAAGTTTAGATGTTCTTTCTTTATCATAATTGAAACGACATTTTCTAACAGTACTCTTACATATTGACCGTGCTTGTACCATATTTATTCTATTTAAATCACACGGGTCATTTCTATATCTATTCAATAAGTTTAAAAATACATTTTTCTTTTCAACACATTCATTATCATACCACGGGCTATTATTTACATAACAAGGAAAGCTTTCACAACCTTTAATAACAGTTTTTTTAAATAATGGCGATGCAACTTTATCAATGATATTTTGAACATTTTGTAAACAATCATCAATATCTTGTTTTGTAGAACATAATGTGATATCATTCGACAACGAATCAATACAACTTGACATATCAACACTAGACAATTCCTCAACAAACTGTGACTTATAATCATTATTCCAAACATAGCGAAAATTTACACATTCTTCATCTTGCTCAGAAGTATCACTGTTATGAACAACTATTCTCGATCTATCTAAACTAAACGAACAGCTTACAAGACAGTGATCTGATAATATATTTGGTATATGGTATCAACCCGGTACGGAATTAGACCGAACCCATTGTAGTCTAGAAAGTAGTTCTTTGAAATTTTGAAATGGCTCAATTTAAGTCATCTCTAGTTAGATTGGTCATGATTAAAGTGTATTTATTGCATGTGTGTAGTTTTTGTGTGTTATATGATGACTTTAAAAGTTGTTTTTTGTGTATTCTCCAGGAACTCATTTGTTGGTGGAAGGATTAAAGATGTACTACCCACCAGCTGTCAGGAGTTTTTAAAGTGGTGAATTTAAACAGTGTTACAACAGAATGAAGATTTCTGAAAAAAGAAGATGGCTAACGTATTATATTTTGGGCCTCATTGGACTTGTTTAAAGTTGAAGACAGTATATAATTCATCAAGAACAGTGGAATCCAGAATTAAGCCTCAAATTTGACTGATTTACTATAGAACAAATAGTACGAAAATTCACCGGGCCGCGTCCATATCTATCTCAAATTCATTTATATTACAAAACATTTCGGGTTTACACAAAACATAATCTATAAGGCTACAACCACGATTGTTAACAAACGTATATTTTCCTATATGTAGATCATTACCCCTTCTTCCATTTACTATACGTAGACCTGACTGTTTGCAAAAAATCTAGTAATTGAATGCCATTATTATTAACATGGCAAGCATCTTGAGAAAAACGTTCAATTTCATTATCACATATATAATCTTCAGGGAGCATATGTAACATATTTAAATGTACGTCATTATCGTTTGTAACAAAGTCCGGTAATAACGACGTGCGTGCATTGTAATCGCCAAATAGTGCATAATAACAATTGTTATTTGAGTTATTTTCTACATCAATAAGTGAATCCGTTATTCTATCAAATATATTATTTTCAACCATTGCTTGCCTACTACTGTCATCCGGTAGAACATAACATAAGCACAAGAAAAAGTCTTTTTCAAGTGATAATTTTTCCCCTGATATCTTAACCCATATAACATCATCCTGGCTTGTGAAAAATAAAATGTCATCCGAAATCAATTCATTTTTTATATAAATAACAATAGAGATAATGATGCTCTTGTGAAAGACTTTCGTGTTCAGTAGAACAGTTATTATTTTCTATAAACATTTCAAATTAATGTGATATTTATTTGTAACTTTGACGGACGAATGCTCTATTCACAGTCATGTAAAAGAATAAATAATTTAGTATATACTGTAAATAACCACAATTAATGGTTAAATCAGTCGGACACAAAGTAATTGTTGCAATTAAAGCAACGATGTTTTTTTGATAGTGTTGTTTCAAAGGGACAAATAAATTGAACAGCTGCATTTTACCGGTATTGCTCTTTAAATCATGTGTAATTTTCCCTGGAACTTTTATCCATCTGTGTACTTGTACATTGTTTTTACTTAATTGTCAAATTTAATGTAAAATCGAGATCCGTGTTAACATATTAAGATTTAAACAAGAACCAGTACTGTCTGGCCGGGCGGCATGATAACACATGGTGTCCTGGCTCTATACCGTTGGGTAAGAGATGCAATCATCATCGTTTACGCTTTAACAACATTAGATATGAACTTTACATACTTTACTGTATGCGCTTCGTCATAACAAAAAAAACCTAGTATTTATGAGATTTTTTTTTACATTATTGATAAATGTACTTTGTTCATTTATCCAAGTGCTACAAATATAGTTTTTGAAAACTCAACAACAACACACGCACACACACACGCGCGCGCGCGCGCGCACGCACACACGCACACAAAACAAAAAGAAAAAAAAAGAAAAAAGAACAACACGGCCATTTCGAGGAAAGTAGACCTTTTCCCCTTTTTGACATTCAAACATTCATATTGACTGTTTAACCCGGATATTATGAAGCCAACGCAACTCAGCAACTGATAGTAAAGATCGACACCATTTTGAACATGACAATTCTGAATAGCTGGTAAATGGTAACGGTAAATCTATATTCTAAAAAAAAAGAAGATTTTTCCGTTGTAAATATATTGCAATGTTTATCAATAAATTTGTCAATTATTAAGAACTATCAAAGGCCACCACTATGAAAATGCATAATTATTAACTGAAATTTGGAACTTCACAACGAAACTATTGTATATATAATGTAGGTGTTGAAAATAACAAATGACGTTGTTTTTATTGTTTGCATTAACATTTGTCACAGTATTTATTAATTATAAGAGGGTGAAGGTAAAATATTACTTAGATAAAAGGAGATAGCAAATATAAAGTGTGCAAAGATCTTAGTGACGATAAGAGCCACGATGTCTTACTGTAAATGGTCTATTCCGGTAGTAACAATCATGTGGATATGCGTTTGTACTGTTGGTAGTAAAGAAAACATATTAAAAAGGATAGAAATAAAAGTAAGTGACACTAATTATGTCAATTTAATAAATTTAATTTAATTTCAGTTTGATACAGAAACGTTCAGACAAATACCTAAATTTGTTTTTCCCTTTTTTCATTTTAAGTTGAATACTAAACTTGCCATTGTAATTGATACCAGGTCCTACTCTAAAGTGATATGGCCCATTATTGAAGGTATGCTTTACCATTTATTATTATTTTGATAACATGTTGCAACAAACCACTAAATAATTATAAACGATGGTTGTTGTTATTTAGTGTTAGATAAATAATTCGAGATAATATTATCTATAATGTTATCTATATACATGTATACTAGCAAATAATTAATTGCTCTAGAACAAATCATCATTTTTCATCAGATTAAAGTTTCCTCTAAAACATTGAATCGTTTCATTGTGTTTTCAAGATATACTTTATAAAAATATCAAAATAAGCAATTTCTAACTCTTTATCAATGTTTGCAACTCTAACGGTAAATGTGCTAATTGTAGACTGTGTTAAGAACTCTAAACATTCAGTATAATATTGCATAAGACATATTCCTTCTCTTCGTAAATGTTCATATTGCTTAAGGAATTGTAAAGAGGAGAAAATGCGTGTAAAGTCATGGGTGCATTTTAAAAGACGGCTTCATTGTTTCACACATACCATGATTGTTAAAGAAAGAAGTTGCTATGTGTAATTTCTATAAAAGTCATGTACAAACATTTGACTTGTTATGTTATTTTTGACAGTTTTAACATTTGTAAGCGCAATTTTCTTTACTATTTTACATACACATTCAATTTATAATCTTTTTAGATAATAATATTTTATGTATGTATAACCATAGCATGCCAAACAACAGAAATGAAATAAATGAGCCGCGTCATGAAAAAAAACAGCATAATGGGTTTGCGACCGTCCGCGCAGTATGATCAGGATCCATGCTGTTCGCTATCAGTTTCTCTACTTGCTACAGGGTTTGTAAGCGAACAGCATTGATCCTGATCAGACTGCGCGGATGCGCTGGTCGCACACCCATTATGTTGGTTTTGTCATGACGCGGCTCAAATGTCGTTTGGTTAAATGCAAGATGATAAGTTATCTAAGTTGCAAGATTTGTCACAATTTCTGTTATAGCGTGTTTGTAGTTAAATGTGCAATTACAAATATCTAAGTATTTTCATTTTTTGCACGGTAATTTTTTTGAAGGTATATAACTTAGAAAAGATAACCGATAAGGTGATTTTTGTAAGTAGGCACTTGAATTTAATATTAAACACTCAAGTTGCATCTTTAAATAACTCTAGAAGAAAAAAGTTGTGTTTATCAAAACATAATTTATTCCCTCTGTAATTGCAACGTTTAACTCGATTGAAATATAACGCTAAAAACGTTTGCAATTTTTTAAATAATTAACCAACATTGGTATTGATTAAAGTATATAAACAACACAAATGTTGTTTTTCTATGGTAACACTAAAGATATCATCCCGAGGTTAATCCTTTTAACACTATTTACTTTTTACTGTTGCGAACATTTCCGGCTGCCAAAGTCACTCTGGTGATAACTCTTTGTAGTCTTCTTTAAAAAAAAGGCTGACTCGAGAAAAAAGGCGGCTATTTTTGTTTTTAGAAAATAAACAACGTTTAACAGCGGTTAAAATGTATTGTTACCCATGCAACCGTATACATTTCTTAGTAACTTGGCACACTAGCATCAGAAGTAAGAATATTTCCCATTGGTCAGCGATAACTTTCCATTTCAAAAAATGATGCCTCTTTATTATTGGCCGGCTAACTTTTTAACTACCATCTTAAAATCCCCAATTTGACGAGAGATAATTCCAAAAACCGAAGATAGACATATCAGTTTAATATATTCAACATGAAAAGGTTGAAATATGCCTTTTTGAATCGCGTCCTGGGATCGGCTTTTTTATTTGACATAACCTTGGCTTTTTGAAAAATGTAATTAAAAACAGTTTTACGGTTAAGACGTGTTATTACTTGTTTAATATTTGTCAAAACGTATATAAATACTATTATGTACTTGCAATGATATTCAATGATAAAAAAACCTGTTTTTTGTGTTTGTTATATTTGAATCTCCTTATCCTACACTCATTTTGTACGTCAACTCGGAACATAGCCTTGATTCAGGAAATAAATAAGGGTTATTGTTACGCGTTGTGCTCTTTCGTCGGACGGACGGACACAAAACAATCACTTACCTTTCCAATGTTTGGTTAATTATAAGATGATTAAGCAATTATTCTCAGTTTTGGGAAATAGAAATATAAAGCTTATGGTGTATTCACATAGAAAAACTCTTTAAGACAAGTTTAAAATTCACAGTGTTATTGTCAGTGTTAACTTGTCATTATGATTTATTTATATTTGTTAATAGTTTCAATAAATCATAAACAGGTCTATAACTGAATCTGGTTAGCTAGAACGATAATTACATCTTTTAAAAAATTAAAAGATATTCTTTATAATTTGATAACCGATCAATCCAGATTGATTCCGAATCTCTGTTTTACGAAACGTATGTATCGTCTGATACGTGTACGTGCGTTATTATGTGATATGTCTGTAACTTATTAGATAAATGAATTAAACCACAATGATATACACTACTGAAACTTATTATGACCTTTGAGTAGAGGCAGTATATATTTACAATACTACTTGTTTAAGATGTAATGAATTTAAACGTGTTTATATTGTGCAAAAACTCTTAGATGATTAAATCAGAAAATTTATTTCTTCAAGACTTTCTAATGAACTTTTAAGATAAGTTCTTGTCTAGTTTCAAATGTTTATTAAAAAAGCGGTTTATATCCGTTGGTTAGGAACGGAACATCACGAGCCTTTGTCTACCTTCATTCCAAATAACAAAATACATCCCAGGACAACTTTATTATCTTACCAATAAATGCATTTATAATCTTTATTAATATGGGTTTGACGTAATAATTCAACTTATGTTTGCCAATATGGTTAGATCAATGTTAAAATCATTGACATACCACAAAGGACAAACATAAACGGAACAGCAAGAATGGATGTATGGCGATATTTAAATACCTGGAATACGCTTAGGGAAGGGCAGCAGTGAGCGTTTCAAAAGTACAAAATCAACGCAAGTTATACAATTAACACGATCTTTAAAGATAAGCTTTATTATATGCTATTTATTCATTTAAGTTAAAAAATACAAAGCTACGAGTATATATAATTAAGGTATTAGGACCCTAATTGGCAATATCAGGAACTAAAAAATTTACATCATAGGTCTGATGTATACCTTAAAGTACACCTGTATGCAAATTTAAACAAAGTTTACCGTATGGAAATCAAGTTATGGCCACTTTTCTGAACTCAAGCTAGGATGTTATGAGGGCCCTTTTTTAGAAATGAGCAACCTTTAAATAATCTGCAATAACATTCTAATGAAAAATGTTTTCCCATTAATTTGTGGTAAGAAACAAATAGTACCATTCAGCTAACAATCCACATAAGCACAATTATGGCTTCTACTTAAAATTTATGAAATCTGTATAAAAATGTTACCCTACCCCACCCATTTTTACCACATGTCTGACCGTTTATCTACTTAAATTCACGCAAATGAGTGCCTGTTTTCAAAATTTCCCTAAATTTTTAAAACAGTATATTGGTTGATCTTGTAAAATATGAAATACTTTTACCGTCTAGTTTTGATTATAATACACTTTGAAAATATCAGGTACCATATTTATTACTAGATTTAGCATAATTTAGCCAATAAATACCTTAAAAAATCAAAATTAAACACTTTTTTTCCAAATGGGACATGAGAGATACATAAATAATGTTAAAAGAAAAAAAGTTGACCCTTCTGGGGATTGAACCAATGGCCCTCATTTTCATTGTAGTTAACAGCAGTTCTAGCCTATTTGAATACTCTTCAAAGCGGAGATAATGCATTAGGATGCTAATACCTTAGATACTTTGATAATATCTATAAAGATTCAATTCAATTCAAATAGTTTATTTACGTCTCATCACATGTCCAACACATATATCACAATCAAAATAGATAAAACTGGTAAAAGTACATATGCCATTCAATATAGAATTATATGAGACATGTAAGCAAAGCTTACGTCTATAGGTAAATATAATAAAAGATCATATTTACATACTTACATGATTATATACTATACACACTTATAATAAAAGAATTTGGAATGCTGTGAATCTATTATTTTTAAGCTTTCATATTCCTACTAATGTGTCTAAAAGTCTATATATATAAACAATTCACTAGTCTGATGTACAACAATTCTAATGAAAGTTAAGAGAAATAAAAACTAAAATGTATAATAATGAAATAAATTCAATCTGTAAGATTCACAACACTCTATCTTACAATACCTACTTAATAAAAGGAATAGCTACCTACAATAAAGTAAAAGACGTCTATGTTTTAAAATATTAAAGCATGCTTTGGCTGTAAACTTAGTCATACATGGATTAACAAAAACGTTATGCATTTTCTCCACATCAGATAAGTTGTCAAAATTATTAACAATTGTTCTCGCAAATTCAAATAGGTCTTCCCTGAATTGTAAATAGAGTGGACAGAGTAACATTACATGTACCTCATCTTCTACGGTATCAGTACAGTTAAAACAAGTTCTTTCTTGTACTGACAGATTTTCATACCTCCCCGTTTCCAATCTTATCGGTGCAACACCGCATCTAAATAATGCCATAGCTCTTCGATAATGAAAAGGCAAATGTTGTTTTACATAAGTTTCAGTGTCAAAAACATTCTTGAACATTCTATATGTTCTTAGCTTATTTCTACCATTTCCTGATATTGATGACACACGCTCTACTGATTGTTTCCATTTATTAACTTCTACCTCAATTTTTTTTCCTCAATTTTTGTTACAATTGCTTTAGTATTCACTTGATTTGTGTTAAAATAAATCTAGTCTTCAAAATTAATACTCTGTCACATTTCAGTAATTCGAAAAAAAATATTCTTACACCTAATACTAGCTACTGATCTTGACCAATTAAAGACTTTTTATTCAATCTTGAGTCATGCATATTTAACATTCTACAGTGTTGTCTTACAGCGCCCCATTGCTGAACTATCAGTGGCTTCCAGCCCATCTCACCCAGGACTGCTGAATTTGGGGTGTATTTACCTACCCCTAGAAAATAGCGCATTGCCCTATTATGGATAGCATTTATACACGAATATGACTTATCTCCCAATATCGGGGCTGCATAGCTAATAACAGGCCTGACAATTGAATCATAAAGTTTTGTAAAGGTAGAGAACTGAAAGCCACCAAAAGTTTTACGTTTGGAAATAATAAGACCAAGTGCTCTTCCTGCAAAGACTTTAAGCAATTTCAGCAAAATTCAAAAATTCATTTAAAATAACACCAAGATACTTATAACTATGTGCAAAAGGTATCATTGTAGAACCTATACTAAAAACATGATTTGTTAAGACACAACTAATTGTTCTGAAATGAACTACATTTGACTTATCCCCATTAACACTCATTTTATTATTAATACACCAGACACTGAGAATGTCAAGCAAACTTTGTAAATCCCTAGCAGATTCAGCAATAAGCACAACATCGTCTGCATATAGTAAAATAATGATGATATCATCATTGAATTTAACTCCTATACCTGATTCTTTAATAACCGTAACTAAGTCATTGATATAAAAATTAAATAAAATTGGCGACAAAGGACAGCCTTGTTTAAGACCGCATTTGACTTCAAACCAACGAGAATCAAACCCATTTAGTCTTACGCAACATTTAACATCTTTATAAAGCGACATAACCGCTTGAAAAAGTTTGCCTTGTAGTCCACATTTTTCTATTTTCGTCCACAACAAAGGTCTTGGGACAAAATCATATGCTTTTCTAAAATCTATAAATGCTGTAAATGTACTTTCTTTCAAAAGTTTTCTTTTTTCTATAATATTGGTTAATGTTTGTACATGGTCAATAGTACTTTTACCTTTTATAAACCCATTCTGCTCATCATAAATAATTTCATTTGATATACACCATTTTTTTATACGTTCATTTAATACACTCCAGTAAATGTTATAAATGGAAGGAGCTAAAGTGATACCTCTGTATGATAGAGGATCTCTAGGGTCAGATGTTGATGATTTTGGAACTGGTGTTATAATTCCTTTGGACCAGGCAGATGGTACCTAACTACTTCAAAAGGTATCTTATTCATTCTTTCATTTCCAATTCCAATCTCACCAATTTCTTTCCAAAAATCATTTGTGTTCTTATCAATAAGATCATCAATTTTATTTTGGGCATGAGATACATAGCTTCTCTTAGTCGATTGGACACAACGGTCAAAAAGCCTTCTCTTTTCAACATATTGTTGTTTTAACTTTTTCTTTTCATGTGAAGTAGATTTCAACCATGATTTTTTCAGATTTACTCATATCAGACCACAAAACAGACAATTCATTAGTCCACCACGGCTTACTGGTTCGTAATTTTTTATTTGTGCGCCTGGATGTGGTGAATTTAACACATTTATGTTGTAACTTCTCTGTCATTTCTACATTAAATATTTCAACTAGATTTTCATAAGCTAAATCAAGTTTTGTTTGAGAATTATTCACATTGTCTAAAGAAATAATCAATTCATTTAGCTTTTGTACAACAACATTTCCTGATAAAAAATCATCAGGGACATTTTTTGTATCATAGATAATTTTATTTAATGTAATGTTTTCATCCGTACAAACATCATCATATGATTCACTACTAATATTTAATGACAGTTTCCACCGCAAAAAAGAATGATCAGGCTTTACAGTGTTCGAACTAATGTTAGAGACAATTCCGGTGTCAGACATTAAATCTGTTGTTTTAATAACTTCAAAATTATTAAACTTATTCAAATTTTCATATGGGACTAGACAAAAATCTACACATGATGCTCCTTGTGGACCAATAAATGTAAAATCATTGTTAATAGAATTTCTTCCATTTAAAATGCAATAATTTATATCTACTAAACAATCAGTTAAAACATTTCCATAACTGTTAAGAGTAAAATCTAAAACATCTCGTTCTGGGATATCATCAATCCCTGGTATATAGTCAAGGTTATCTGAACAACGACTGTTAAAATCCCCACAAATATACATGAGAGACATATCACGCTGATAAGTGTGTACTTGACACATTATATTTTCATAAAAATCATACACATCAATTTGCATTGTAGAATTTTGGGGAGGTAAGTAACAAACACATATACCTATCTTAACCGTAACATCATTTTTATATTCTAATTTCAACCATAAAATTCCCTCAAAATTATTATCTAAAATTTCACAATTAAAATCTGTTAAAATTGAATTCTTTATAAGAAAGCCAACACCACCTGAGCCGGTTTTAGATTTCTTATGAAGATTTTTTCTATTCTGACCAAACCATTTATAGCCATCAATACATATGTTTTCATTATTTTTTAAATGAGTCTCAGCCACTCCAATGATGTCACAATTACAGAAATTTATACAAGTTTCTCTTAATTTATAACTATCTGATGCTTTATTAATGTTCCAGCCTCTAATATTCCAAAAGCCGCATGCTAACTCCTAGTGTTTCCTACTATGTCCTCGTGCTTGTCTCCAGTCATTGCCATTAGCTTGCCTGTTTGAGTTTTGTTGTCTGTTAAAAGAATGCCTATTGTTATTGTCATGGTCGTTGTTATGACGATTGTTATGGCTACCTCTTTCATTTCTATTATCATAATACGTTTTTTCATTGTATCTATTGTTTCGCTCACTTTCACCATTCCTATCATGGCTGTTTCTGTCATTTTCCCTCACACTATCACGATGAGATTTCACAGTGACTCTGGAACCACGTATATCAAGATTTTGGAAATTGCCACTTTTCATACTATCAATGATTTTTTTAAGGTTGTTTGCATGTGTTCTTTCCTCTTTACTTTGGTCACCATGAATGTACACTTTAGCATATTGACTATGATTTCTAAGAGAACTCTTTACCTTCATAACAGATGACTTATCTTCACTGCACGACATGCGTGTCACTATCACTCTGGGTCCTGAACTTCTACCACCATCTGACACTCCTTTCCTTTCAGCTAGAACTGCCTTCACTGGGAGTTTTAAACCATGCTTAAAAATGTTATTGACCTTCTGAATTGTGTCCTCACTAGTCGTAATTTAAATAATCTAAAGGTAAAATTATGTTGTTTTCATGTTTTTGCATGTAAACATAATACAATTTCCCAGAACAAAATATCATCTTGCTTATGTGGGTTTTAACTGTTGAACAATTATTTCGTGCATTCGCCAATCTTTTCTAAGGACCTATCAAACCTATATTTGTTTTATATAGCTATTTAGAAGTATTACTTTCTCCGAAAAAAAAAACAAAAAAAAAAAACCAATATTTTAAATTATGAACAGCAGATACACATGCAAAGATTTATAAATGTTAAACTACGGGCATACGTTAAAGCTAACGAGAGCACAAAGGCGGGGTTATGTACGCCAGAATGAGTAATAAAATAATCTTAGAATAAAGATAGAGACCCGAACAAGAAACTTATATTTTATCTTAATTATCCTTTATATGATAGTATATGACCTCCAATATAGAGGCATTTTTCAAACTAAAGTGAATACATAAGGCTAGTGACTCCCATGGCAGGGCCAATTTTGATCTGATAGACATAATTATTGTAACTTTTACAGAAATCTACAAACTGATTCTACATACAAAATATCAAAGCAACAATAAGACTTAAATGTGTTTTTCTATGTAAGTTCATTATATCAAGTAATCCCCGGGATGGGGCCAATTTTAATCTCAGGAAGCCCAAATCTGTGTTCTGCACATCGTCTCCTTATAAGTTATAAAAAGTTTTTTTTTTTTTATATCGGGAGCGGACACAAAATTTTGAAATTGATATATAATGACTAAGTGTGACCATGGCATTTTGACCCGAGAAAGGTCAAACCTGCACTCTGCATATCGTCTAGTTACGGTTAATATTTCTGCAAAGTAGTTTCAATTTCCTTTTAGCGGTTCAAAAGATACAGACCGAAATTGAAACCTGCTAACAACCGAACGGACGACCAAAGGCATAACACTATATACCAACATTTTGTAGGGCTATAAAACATAAAAACACATAAGGAAAAGTCTTGTTTTTTGTACAAAGCATTGTTTTCATTTCAGAATACTTATACTCAGAAATTACATATTTGTAATATCAATAAAACATGATTTTACAGTTAAAAACTAGAATTGGTAAAATGTTAATCTGCAAATGTATACTGGATTTAAATAAACAATAGAAAAAATCATAAACGTTTATGTCTAGGCAAATAGTTTTTGTTTCCATTTGATGATATCTTGTATCATAAGCTGCTATATATCTTTTGCATTATATATATTTTTAGACATAAATTTACGATCTGATTGCGATTTAAAGCAATCGCTAACTTTCCCTGTCCAAAAGAACATACTGCAGTGCCATACGTTTGGCCGGTATTATAAATATTTGCTTACTTTGCCCGGGTTTCAAAAAATGAAACTGTTTTGCATCATATATATTTTTAGGCATTAATTCCAAGGTCTGACTGCAATATCAAGCAGTTGATACCTTTCCCTGTAGAAACGGATACAATGCGATGCTCTACGTTTGACAGGCATTACAGATATTTGGTTCCAAACGGCTCGCTGTGCCAGGTCACAAGAAATGAAACTGTTTTACAATTCCACTGCGTCGAAGGTTTCTGGAAACTTTCAAAAGGAACAGGTCATATTTCATTATATCATTGTTATCGTTATGATTATAAAAATACATTGTATTACTGGAAAATTATAGCCTATGTTTCAAAACTTGATTTTAAAATCAAGTACGCTAAACTAAGTACATTATTAAGAAGGACAAGAATGATAGGCAAATTAAAGTTGAATGAAAACATAGGAGAATTTTATTATTAATCTTTGAAAACTCGTGATATGTTTTAATGGAAAATCTGTTTACTTATTATTTCTAATATCCTTTTTATCGGTTCCTAAAACATTTTGTGTGATACTTGTCCAATTGGCAGGTCACATTTTCAAATACTTCATATGTGCTGTAGAATTCAGAGTTAAATAAAAAAATATATTGTAATAAAATATAATGCAACTGTACATAATAACCTCAAATAAATTCAAACCTAAGCGATGAAGGGCAAGTAGTCAACAGTCAGTCACTTTAAATCTTTAAATAATGCTTATTCATATGTGACTTCTTATTTGCAGACTCCCATCTGCGACCAAAACGATTTATAATCGAAGCTATAGCAGCTGCTGCAGGTGTAGTTTTAGCAGGAGTAGCAGTTGGTAATGTGATTTATTGTTTTTTTAAACATGGAAACATGAAATGTGAAGAAGAAAGTAAGTAATTTTAATCTTTTCCAGCTTTTAAAATTAGTGTTTATACGAAAAGAACAACAACAAATATTTTATCATTCAATTTTATGAAGAATTCTGGTTGTTTAAACGTCAGTTTACTAGTAATTCTTTTTTAATTGACAGTGAAGCTTTGTTTAAAAACCATGCAACGTTGATAAGCGTTAAAGTATATAACTTGCAACTATCTTAAAATTGATTCAACTAACGGGGAACGCGATTATATCCATGTTTATTGAATTAATTGATTAATTAATAAATATTTTTATTAAAGATTTTAGCTCGGTATGTCTATTTCTTTTTGTGGTTATTCGGCAACATTGATTAAAATATTTTATGTGTTGAATGTGAGATACTGCATAATCTGCTTCTAGGGAGCATAACATATTCTAAATTGTTTGCCATGACCGAACTCAGTGAAACCTTGTCAGCAAAATGTTCACCAATATGTTTTTTTTTCTTGTTTTATGGATATTTTGTCTATTTTTTACACTACTAAATATAAGTTACTATAAAGTGCTTTGTCGCAAGTATAAGTTGTTATCCCGTTCTTCATCTATGCATTGTTATATTATCGGAATAATTAAATTGGAAACTATTGTATGCTGCCCAGGCTCTGTCAGAAGACGCAATTATATTCAGTTTTAATTGTTTCATGAACTCGGTATTTTTTATTGCTGTTGCTGATTTCTTCTTTCTAGAATTATAAAGGAGTGTTACATAAAAAAGTGTTAAATCTGTACAAGAATTCTTTCTTTAGAATCGAAATTCTACAAAACAGTTAATACCTTTTAAGAACTCTTTCTCATATACAAAAATAAATGATCAGTTTGTTATTAAAGCAAAAAAACTTGAAGCACCAACGTACACTGTTTGTCCTCCCTCTGATATCCAGTCAGTGTATATAGCCGACAAAAAGAAAAAGACGGTAAATGTCACTTGGACAGATCCTTCTGCAACGGATGATAAAGCAGTAGTTTCGTATGTATATTGTGATTGTATGAAACATAAAATATTAAAACATCTCTTTGTAACATGTTCTTTTATACACTCAATTAAGATCATTTGAATTTTAACCATATTGAATCATTTGGTAAAAGATTCGACTATTTGAATGATATAATCTTTTCATGAAAAGGAATACTAAAATATATTTGTAGCACAATTTATTATAACCTGATACTAATCTATTTAAGGTGCATAATATATTATAATATTAAGATGCATGTTTTCGAAGATTAAAAGTCAATAAGAAAGTACATTTAACATTATAGAAATGAACAGACTGTTGGTGTTAGGAAAGGCGATCCGTTTCCAGGATCACCGAATGAAGGGCAATCTCACACTATTATTTATACAGCCAAAGACGAACATGAACTTACAGCCATGTGCAGTTTTTCATTTCATGTTAAATGTAGGTAAATGTATGTATAAAGCTATGACTTGTGTATTCAAATGGTTTATGAACATTTCAGAAAGTATTATTGTTCATAATTTAGTTCCGCCAGCTTAGCTTAATAGAGACTGAATCGATCTTTTAATTTAGGGGCTCAGGCGAGGCAAAATTTCTCTATAAAAACTGATTTCTGACATTTACTCCTATGTTCATTTGTCTTTTATTTCTGATTCAGAGATCATAACTAGAAGGTAACTTGTGGAGAGATTGGTAAAAACCGCCGTAAAAATCTAACAAACAAACCAACCAAACAAACAAATTATTTAGTATAAGATCAGTTACAAACCAAAACACGCAAAATAATATTATGATTATAACTTTCAAAAGGTATAAAATGTTTATAAACATTCAATCTAAAGTGCTTGAATGGATCACTTCTTTATGATTATAATTGATGTTATATTTAAGATTTAGCATGTAATGAGCCACCAATTCCGATGAATGGACGGAAGGTCTCGTGCCCAGACGGTTATATCTACGGTGGAGAATGCACGTTTGAATGTTTTGATGGATATGAACTGGTTGGTAGTGGTAAAACAACATGTCAGCAGAACGAAATTTGGGATAACTCACCAATATGTAAAAGTAATATTACTGCAGTTGCTACCTATCTAAACTTCAGTTTATATGAAGACTCTAGCTTATGTCACAAATGTTGAAACTGCTTAAAGGCACGTTATGCCTCAGACCAATTTATTTTTACTTTTTTAGAAATGGTAAAAATGACTCTTATAAAGTTCAAATAATGGTTTCAGAGTATGTTAGATGCTGGTCACTTGAAAATAGCACTAAATGTCAAAATATTTGCTATAAAAATGGCATAGGCAGCAGAAGAAAGACAAGAAAATCGGGTATTTGACCAATGAGTATTCTTTTGGAAACAATGAAAGGACACCAAAAATAAAATAGTTTTTAAGGTATAAGAATAAAAACATTCCGGGGCATAATAAGCCTTTAACCGAAGACTGAACTATGATTAGGAAATATTCTTATTTGACTGTGTTAAAAATATAAAAATAAATGTTATGTTAGATACAATCTAGTGATTTTATCCGCTTTGTTGTAATGTGTCAGTTAATAAAACATTTACATAGTTTTATGATTAAATAATCTATAATTTGAAATAATTCAAATGTTATATCATTGCAGAAGTGACATGCAGCCCTCCATTTACCACTACTAATGGAATTGTTACGTGTGATGATACCATTTATGAATTTGAGGATGATTGTCTGTTCTCATGTGATGATGGATTTAGACTGAATGGACCATCAAAAATGACATGTAGGGCTAATAAGACATGGTCGGTAGACAGCAACAATGTCAAATGCGTTGGTTTGTATAATTTCTGTTTTGTTTGCATAATTTTTATTTTGTTCTATCATCATGTGTTGTATTTGTTTGCTCATATATACATATATTTGTTATTCCTATAGTGATTATTTATATAACGCTATATAAAAAGATCAACGATTATAACACATTATCTTAGAAGGTAGTTTAAAGTTTGATATATTTTAACTCTTACGAACTCCCTTAAAGCGCAATAAGAAATCAGTATATATACAACATACGATGTTATACGAGAATATCTTTGAAAAACATAACATTTAAAGCGAATATATATTTATGAGAATTATATTTATAATGGAAAGTATCTAATACTACAAATAATAACATTGAAAATACCTAGTATCAGACATAACAAGAAACCGTGAAAGAATTATACATGGATGTTGTTTGCAAGTTTAAGACACATGCTCTGATATTTCTTATATTTATACAGCAGGTAATAAAATGTTCTAGAACAAAATAATATTTTCCCCCTTATCAATACCCATACAAAAGCACTCTGAACTATTTCAACCAATATTTTATTATAAAATTTATCCAAAATGATACATTTGTGTTATTTTTTTATCAATATTTGAAATACCTTTGAAAACAAAAATTTGACTAATGTAGACCAATTCACTTTGATACTACTCTATTATATATACATTTGTCAGTATAAGTATTTTGATGGGGGCTGCGTCCTGTGAACGTTGTTTTTGCCTTGTGGATCTTTATTATCGTCTTTGGCAGTAGATGCTGGAAACAATTATGAAAGTTACAAAATATAATATTTCTTGTTTTTGACTGATGTTGAATCATTTGCAGATGATGAACCCCCTATCATTTCTTGCCAGACCACTCAGTTATTCTACGCTGATCGTGGTACATTTAACACCTCTGTCACATGGATTGTTCCAACGGCTACTGACAACGTTGATAGAAATGTGTCCGTATTGCAAACATCTGGTCCTGAACTAGGAGACATTTTGTCAGAGGGTTTTCATTCGGTGATGTATAAAGTCACAGACAGTGCTGGCAATTCCTTCGCAGCGCTATCTGAATGTACAATAGTTTTAGACGTTAAAGGTAAATGTATGACGTTAACTCATTGCAATTATATTGTAGAAAATATGGTTTTTTAGTATTGCACCATTTGTTAACATGAAAACAATTGTCGTTGAATTAAAGAAGCAATTAATGGTATCAAGCTCAATTTTATTGATATGTTTTTTTTAATATAAAATCTATAATCAGTTTTAAAAAATATATTGTTTCGATAACTTTATTTTCAATTCTCCAAAAAACTTTAAACATAGAATATGTTTGTTATTTTCTACACATGGATATTGTACAGAAATAGAATAAAATGTTTCGGAACAAAATATCATGTTTAGGATTTAACCGGTATTTTGAAAGTATTCTTTTTTTAAATTAAATTAAATAAATTGAATAATTGAATCAGAAATATAGATTTATACACTTTAAGAATACCACCATGTTCAGAGAATTTGTGTAGAAGGATAACTTTTATAGCATGATTTCAGTTGCATCTATTATGTTCATTTAAATACAATTTATATAAATATTGATGGCGGATGAGTCGTTTCAAGACCTGGGGATGATTACATTGATCAGTAATTGATTTGATAACAACTAATTTCAGATTTTATTGCAATTGATTATTATTGATTACTAAGACTTGCCTCTGTAATCAATTAAATTACAATTACTTTAAGAGAGTAATTGATTGATAATTGATTACATTCAAAGTAAAGTAGACTCCCTACTTCAGACCACCCCTGAATTAAGACCACCCCGTGAATAAGACTACTTGTACAAGGTTCTTTATGTAAAGGGTTACATAATCCAGAATTAAGAACAACATTAGCCACCTGATTCAGTCCAAATGCTTTGCTTTAGACAATTATTGAGACCACTGATATTAAAGTCAACACCTATCTAGATCTTTAATTTGTTGTTATGATCTGCTTGAATGCTTTGCATGACACTTAATTTCACAAGGTGTGAAAAGCTGTTATTATTGGGTTTTTTGTATGAAATAAGATGAGAAGGTCAATTTTAGTGGTTTAATGTTGCATTCAGCAAATTTATTTTGTGAAGAATTATTTTTAATTGATAGGTGATTCATGTTCATCATACAATAATTGATATTGAAATCTGACCAAAGATAATTTAATGTTTAATTTCTTCAGAAATATGTTTTTCTCTCAACAGATATCATAGCATACTTTTATTGTGTCTTCTATATTGTATTTGTAGCTTAAAATACATACTGTTTTTTTCCCATACAAAATGACTAAAACAGACCATGTTCATAAAGTATGTAAGCAATGCTAAGAATATTCACAATTAAGACCACCCCATAATTAAGATCACTTTGGTCCAGCCCAGATGATGGTCATTATTAAGGGCTTTTACTGTAAATATGTAAAACAAAAGTTTAACTGTATCTTGTAAAATAAAGGCATCCTTTGGATTAAAATAGTTGTCTGTTAAATCTGAAAGTAATCAATGTCAATCAAATTGTAATCATAATTACTGACTGAATTTTAGCTGTAATTGATTAATTACAATTAAAGTAATCAATTTTGGGCAATATAATTAATTACATGATGATTATAGTGTAATCTTTTAATTGATTAAAAAATCAATGATTACAATTAATGATTATCCCAGCTATGGTCGCTTCGCTTTGGAAGCGTGGTTGCCCTCGAATTTTTGAAGAAGGTAATAGTGATGAAAACATAATTTCATTGAATTGGTAATAAAAAGTTTTATCATTTTTATTTGGAAACAAAGAATAAAAACTAACCGATAGTTATTTAATCAGTGCAATCAGTTCATATGCAAAGTAGCAAAGTTTGATTCCTTTACGGTACTGACAGCAAAAAAAGAAAAAATGTACATAAAAATCGGTTCTATTAGCGTTTTAAGTAAATATGTCTTGAAGTTGTGATTAAAAAGATGCTAAACAACGGTATGCCTTGCTTAGAATATAAACACGTTCATTTTATGACTATAATGGGGGTTTTGTCACACTAAAATGTCACTATGCAACCATGTATTTCATTTATTCAGTGATCAAATGTTTCACTGGTCCAACGGATTCTTTAAGCAACTCCCGTTTCATGATGTACAACTGCAGCGATACGTTATTTTATAATGGTGTTTCCTGTATACTTTACTGTGACCTTAACTTGCCATTGATGGCACTAACCTAGTAACATGTGAACGTGATGGATTGACCGACAAAGGGAAATGGAGTTGGGGACAGGAATTTTCTCCGTTCTGTGAAGGTATTTTATTTATTCATTTTAATTAATTTACACGTTTCTCTTTAAGCTCATGTTTTTTTAGCCAAAAAGGGCAAAAAGACGGACAATTAAGTAAAAAATATAATTTTTCTTACTTTATTTCAACAAGACTGCATACACAACCTGCCAATAATCTAAATACACATGTAAGTTGTTTCTTTCGAAAAGGTTAGATTATTATGAAGAATTATAATTACAAATGAAAGATGACGCCTGCTTAGAACTCATAATCGATTGAATGTATGTGTTTTTTGTAATTGCTTTTTTGTTTGATTTTGAATTTTAATATAAGTTTAAGCTAGTTATTTTTGATTTGCGAGATTTGCAAGAGAATCACGTAAGATAATAGCTTCCGTGTTGTTAAGAGATGCTGTTTTATTTATCAGCTTATGAATGAAACTTCAAATTGCATAAAGGCTAACCCAATCAAATATGTCTTTATCATTTTTGCCAACGTTCTACAGTGGTGGATTGTCCGCCAATAGACCCGCCTTCACATGGCAGTTTAACGACTGACTCTATAAACGCTCGACCTCTCCACATCATGTCTTGTCAAAAAGGATATGATATTCCGTCTGTGGGAACACAATTCCAAGGGAGGCTATCGTGTCAAGATAGTGGAAATTGGTTTCCTTTAGACGATTTTCCTGACTGTATAGGTATGTAAATGATTGCAATCAAACGTCTTTTTGGATTGTAAATGTTTATTTCTGAATAATTAAATAATACATTTGTTACAATATCTTACTGCTTTAATGAACCTTACGCGTTCTGCCTAGAACATATTAACACATAATCACAGTTTCTTCGTATTCAGTACATATGCAAAATGTATGCTTAACAACAACAACGACAAAGGCAACAACATAAAAATTAAAACTAATAATAATAATAATAATAATAATAAAAAAAAAAAAAAAAATATAATGATAATATGCATATTCTTTACGCCTTATTGCAGTTTCGACTTCACCTTGGTTGAATCTACCGATGGAACTGTATTACGACGGAGACTGCAATGACAATGACACAAAAACACAGATTAAAGAACAGGTTTTAGTCTACTTAGCCGGAGTAAAAGCTGATATTGACAACTCTATATGTCCCGACAACAACACGTGCAAAATAGAAAATTTAGATGTCGTCTGCGGTGATACGCCAAGCAGAAAACGGAAATCTGCAACTTCACACGTTATCTACAAACGAAATACGTACGGTTTAATAAGATTCAATGTTATGAAAAAATGGCGCCAAGGGGACAAGTCAACACAAGATGCATACATCGACATTACCAATGACTTGAACAGTATAGCTGACAAAATAGAGAAAGATGCTCACGGCGGTATAATTTTAAATGGGGAGGGCTTGACATTACCTATTGACGGCGTACAGAAGGGTACTCCGAATCTGTTTTGCGATCCAGGCTATAAAGTTGATACAGGAAGTCTGTCATGCAGTAAGATTTTATGAACGATTTTCGTCTATAATTTAACTAGTTGTGTACCAATAGGAGTTGCTGGTTAAAATATTTGAATCGTTTATATATACCAAGATGTATAGAGATTTAAATATGCTTCCTAAGCATATTATGTTTTAATTTTTGTTCGAGACGTGTTAAATAAAGATTATTAACTTGAATTGACACAATGTCTAAAAAGTTATCCAGATGATTTTCAAAACGTTTGTAAATATATTTGTTACTATAAATACTACAATTTTCACATATACATGTACTTACATACAAAACATTCAAGGGAAGATAACTAAGAAAAGAAACAAAATTGGCACCACGTAAATTATGTTCTAAAAAATGCTTCTTTTATCAGTTTCTAAGAGCCTGCAAATAATTGTTAATTTCGCTTAAAATTGTTATTAAGATATCTAATAGATATAATTGAACCACAAATCCAACACCAAACAATCATGTTTAACTCGCTCCGAAATTTTGCTGCAATGTGCCGGATATGAATGTTTTTATTTTTTTATCATCAGATGAACGTCCTCTTTTTTAGTTAATATATCTTATACTAAAAGGCATCACTTGAAATATTTTTTTTTCAGAACCCTGTCCAGCTGGGTTTTACCTTGACTCTGATTCGGGGAATTGTGAGGCATGTAAAATAGGTGAATATATCGACCATGAAGGGGCCAGCAAATGCAATCTTTGTGAAAACGGCTACAGTACACTAGCTACTGGCACCAAAGACATAAGCAAATGTTTAAGTGAGTTAACTTTCTGTTTAATTCTTTATATCAACTTTGATACCAATGTTTAATTCATTAAAAAAGGTAGATTACAGTATTCTAATTGTCTAAAGTTTCGATTTATGCAAACAAATCTGGTGAAAGGGTGCTTTCTCGGAAGCATTAAACACAACAAAAGAATATGACAATTCAATGCAGACTTGGTTTAATTGAGTCTATACGTGAGGGACAATGAAAAGGTACAACATCCCTCTAACCCCTAGCACCGGCTTGAGCGGCAAATAAATTTTTAACACTTAAAAGTCAACGACCCCGAAGGACAAGAAAAATATAACAACAAAGATGGGAGGTACGAGAAACTTTTTACAACTTCCATACGTCACTTGAAATCTGCTGTTGTGATAAATGAAAAAGATATTGTTTTTCTTGACGTTTGGTATGCGTTTTAAATTCAGAGCCTTTATTATATAATAATTTAGCAGAGGCCAAATAGTAAAACTTTTCAATGTTGTGAATATTTGTTTGGAAGAGGTATATTGAACTTTTTTTTCAATTTATAATTAAAATAATAATCATAGTAACTATTATTTAATAACAAAATAATTAAAGAGTGGTATTATAATTGATAATATCAGATTTAAATATAGATTATAACGGAAAAGTATTATCTTTAAGTAATACCGTGTAATCATCCTTCGTTTTTAATATTATCACTTCTTGTTACTAAAAATCCATGCTTAGGTATATCCTATTAGAAAAAATCATATGATCATTTCTCAGACATAATTAAATTACATGTAAACCAATTTGACAAATGTCTGTTACAGAATTATGCAGCCCTGGCTATTTCTCCAGTACTACAATGGAGCAATGTTCAGCTTGTCCAGTTGGCACTTACCAACCAGAAAAAGGCCAATCTTACTGTCTCTCATGTCCAGCGGGTAAAACCACTAGTAAAACAAACAGCACATCTGCAGATGATTGCGACTTATTTGACGTGTTCGTAAATGGTTTAGCTGATAGGACTGTAATTGGGTCTTTCACAGCTGATAATATTTCAGTTTTTACAATGGCTATTTGGCTGAAGGTACATGATGAAATTAATAAAAATGTGACAATCTACATTGGTGATTCCAATGGCGATATTGTAACTCTTCGAGTAGCAAGTGAGGTCTCAATACAAGTTGAATCAGGGTACTAATTTAAGATTTCAAATTACTTGATTGTTGAAAGTGTCACCAGTTTTTGACTGTCAAAAGTGTTAACTTTACATTAGGTGTGAATTTGTCAGTTAAATTTAGCAAACATGTAAAACACTTACGTTGTTCAATTCATTTAGACGATATATTGAAATGTTAAAAATAAGAAAACAATCTTGAAGTTAATGTTATGCAAATTAGATTAAAGACAATACCACACAATATAATGAAATTCTTTGTCTAATGCAATATAAAAATCAATACAGTCGAAAAAGTGTCATAATAAACATTATTTCCTTTAATATCTTTATTACCTTTACCAGTAGGTATTTGTCATTAATTAGTACACATTTCCATTTTCAGAAACGTTGTTTTGACTAGTGCAAGGTTGTCACCCAATTACTGGACACACATTATTTGTGAAATTGATATAGCCTCTGGCACCTTGCGACTATATGTTGCAGGGTCATTGGAAGTTGACATGGGAATAGCAATTGAACCGTCACGCACAGTGTCTGCCGGCAGTGTTGAATTAGTTGCTGATTCTAATGGTACGACTTCCCCTTTCTAACTGTTTTTTTTTTGTACATGTGTCCACAATATATGATGTGTCAACGTACTATTTAAAAGCACTGTGTTTAACGTAAAATATGATAAACAAGATCAACAAGGAAAGGCGGCGTTCAATGAACGCAACCCCCATATGACCCAGCAACAAGAACCAGTGGCAAGGAGTCCAGGCGGACCCCAAACAAAAACAGGACAGGGCAAGGCAGAGCACGGACGGGTTAATCATTAAATGATAAATAATAAGTAACTGATTAGGAATTAAAAGAAAAGAATATGCCCACAGAGGGGATGGGGACAGGAGACCGGGGGAGGGGGGGGGGGGGCGTTAATCAATGAAATAAAAACTAGAGGCAATGGGGAAGATACTTACCCTGGACGAGAAAAACAACAAGGGACACAAGTTAAAGTGTCACCAAAACAGTAAGAAACGACATAGACAAACATCTGAGGAACACAGAGGGACGCCGCCTTGGAACGGTCAGCAGCATAATAATGACTGCTGGGGAGTTTAAACCGGTTAATGGTGCACCAAACCTCGCTCTTAGCCCCACTTATGAGTCATGATTTGTATAATAGAAATGTTGATATATAAGGAAATTCGTCGAGTGTATCTGACAATTATACTTTATCATATTTTAATTCATCATTTTTTTTGTTGAAAATTGATTGGAAAGTAAACTTTTGTAAGACGGCTTATAGTTAATTATGTTTTTAAAATAATTTTGTTTATTCAATCAAACACTGTATGTAGCAGAGGTATATGCATTCCATCAAACCACACTTGTAGCTTGATTTAATAATGCTCCCTGGAGGGAGAGCATTTAGTCCCTGCTTTGTACGTCCGTCCGTTTGTTCACCTGTTCGTTTGATTGTCTTGTCCGAGACATAACTCTAAAACTACAAGTTGTATCAACAAGATAATTTGTAGGTAGATAGAACTTACTGAGTAGAAGTGCAATAAAAAACAAACCCTACTGTGACTTTCCAAATTTTGGAGTTATTGCCCATTGTTCATTTTTTGCACTTTGACCTTTGTTCGAGACATAACTCTGAAATAACCAGAGATATCAATATGCAACTACTTCTCTGTGACCAAAACCTTTTCGGGGAGCATAACCCAGTTCGGCCTGGTTCTTGTTTTCTGTTGTCTTAAATGCTCAACAAAAAGCACGTGTCGACTGTTGAGAAAATTATTGCACACAATAAGTTATGTTTGTTGTGCATTTAAGTCATTTAGATTTGACTGAGTAAGCTATTCTGTACATTGTGTTTGCCAAGCAAACTCTTAGTTATGCAACATTTCTGAAACAAATTACATTCGTAATAAGTAAGAGATTTTATTGCGTTGGAATATTTCATTTTGATGATTTGTTATTATTTTACTTCAGGGTTTTACATGTCAGGATTAGTCCTTTATGGTCGCGCACTTACTGAAGATAATATTACGTCATTATTACAGACATGCGCAGTTACACACAGTGATGAATTGTTTTCCATGTCTGGGATAATGCCAAATATCAAAAACGGCATTGCTATCACAACACCAACCTCATGTGACCGTAAGAATTCAATCGCATTGTTGCTAGCACACTAAATGTCAAAAACTACTCGCAAGATGTCAATGATATATAATGTTTTCAAGAAATTAAAAACGCTACTTCTTTCTTTCAAATGATTAACCGTTGAAATAGAAACACAATGCTTTATCATCTATGAACTGTAATAGATTAAAAATGAGTAAATCAAGGGCAACACATCAATCATTACAGATGTATTTTTAATCTTGATAACTTTTTAGTTACTCCAACACAGTTAAGGTAATGCTTTACTGATGGAGGTTCTGGTGTTCTTAGACTATAAATGGATGTAGTTAACAACATAGTGCGAAATTAAAAACGTAAAATAATACGTCTGTAATCATTTTTAGCGATTAACGAATGTGCTAACAACCCTTGTGGGAACCACACTTGCGTAAATATGGTAAACGATTTCTCGTGCATTTGTCACGGAGGAATGACTGGGGATTTATGTGATGTTCCACCAGATTACTGCATAAACAATCAGTGTATTCAAGGTGACTGTCAGTCTGGCAATGGAACGTATAGCTGTACTTGTAATAAAGGATACAGTGGAGTTTTTTGTGATATACCTCCAGGTAGGAAGAGATGTAAAGTTAAATTAAAGTAATAGTGAGTTGTTTCACAAGTATCAACGGTATCCATCTGATTAATTATTTAAGCCAATCTTGTCCAGCAACAGTGTAAAGTTTTGCTGGTGGTCTAAAAAAACATGACTTTGTGTTTTTAAGAAAAGGGTTATTTTTATTGCAATTGCAATTGTGTCATGTCAAAATTCAAAATTTATTTTACTCAACTACATGTGACAAATGTGAAGTACAAGATAGCAATTTAAATAAAAGGCTTTGTGCGACTGTTAATTCTTAAAAAGTGGGATACCAACCCATCTTAACTTTTTAATATACTGTTATTCTTGTTGTTAAAACAGTAAATGGAGGCTGGTCTCAGTGGGGTGAATGGAGCGGATGTGGTGTCACCTGTGGCGGCGGTCTTAATTCTAGATCAAGGAACTGTAATAATCCAACTCCATCTCCTTATGGCAATGATTGTGAAGGAGATAACATAGACTCTTTTATTTGTAATGATCTAGCATGTCCAGGTATATACAATTTTATTTTGTAAAATTAATGCCGACAATAAGTAATTGTACATCCTTTAAATCAGTGAAGATTATAACTTTGCAAAATCACATTCAAGTGATGTCTGTTTCCATTTGTTCAATTTAAAATATTTTTGGAGAAATACTGAATATTTGGTAAATGACCTACAAAGAAAATTAACACACTTGTTAGCTCTTATTGGATCATTAAAAGTTGCATTGTGCCTGTCCAAACTAATTTTTTGACGCTATTGCTTTACAATTTTATATCTTATGCCATATGAATGATCAAAAGCCGATATGACGGAACTGCCTCAATATATTCGTTCATCTCATTTTACCGGTTATGACCATTTGAAATAAGAAGACAGACAGTGGTATTATCCTGTTGTTTATTTATTTCACTCTAAACTTTTTCATGTCACCCTAATGTTATTTTTTTTTGTTAGCAAAGGTACCTATTATTTCTGTTTCTGTACATGGGTATACGGTCATTATTCAGAAGATATCAAATGACTTTAGAGAGTATAATTACAATATTTTTATCGTTCTTCCTTTTCTGTCAAATCCGTTAACTAAAATTGAGAAACTATTAAAGTGTAAAAAACAATTGAGACTATATTTTTCAGCTTGTCCACAGCTAAAAAGAAAATATGGTGCAGTAGTAAATTGCCACAATGTGTCAGCCACTTTGCAAAAATGTAACATGACTTGTCTTCCCGATCGAGCTTTAGCAAACGGACAAACAAACTTCGTTGAATATACCTGTGGTGAATCGACAGGCCACAGATGGCATCCAACTGATAAAATCCCTGAATGCGTTGGTATGTTGCATCATTTATTCTCAAGAGTTAAACTTAATTATTATTATTATAACACCTAGTATTAGAGATGATTTTCACAACTGTACTTTGAAATGAGATTCCGTATGTCCATACTACACATCTTTGCAAGCTTATTATTTTCATTCTGAAATGAATCAGATGATTGTATTTACATAAACGTTTTTCTTAAAAAAAAAACAAAAAACAAAAAACAAAAACAAAAAAACATTCAAGTTAATTGACTTGTTATTTCTCGCCCTGTGAAATAGGTATATTTTCTTTAAACTGTTAGCAGATCGTAATGTATACCATACACATGGCATACGATCATATGTTATAAGCTTCATTTCTTACTACTGTCATACAAGTAGTACATGTAAAAAGAAAGTAAATGTATATTTTTCTACAATAGAAAATTTTACAATTAAAATTATAGAAGTAAATCGACCTGACGTTTTGGGGACACTGGCAACTGTAGAGTACACAGAGCCAATATCCGTGTCGGCCCAAACCGATGTTAGTGCGGCAGTTGAGGATAATTTATCTGGAATTAATTGTATTAATAAAGAAGCATGTTCAATAACAACAACAGTTTCTAGTAGTAACCAAAGTCGTAATAGAAGAACACCATCAACATCATTAACGGTGCAGTTTTCAATTAAACTGACAGATACAGGCGATTTAGATGCGGCAGGATATCTTTCTAGAGGAAAAGGTATAAATTAATAAAGCATAGATCGGTTCTTATTTTAACATGCTTCATGTGTAGTTTGGTTTATATCATCCTTTTTTGACAGATAACTGCATTGATTTCTTATGAAAGATTTCTTAACAAATTTCAAAATGATAAAGGTATATTAAGGTTCCTTATAACTATCTAACACAATAAATGAAACCAATTACATAATCATGATAAGCTTTAAGCAGGTTTGATGTGATATTAATTATTTGCCTTGCTAAAACCTTTGAATTATTAACATACAGTATTTTATCAGATAAAAATAATTAACTTAGGCATGAAATGACAACAATAGTAGTCAGTTATTATCTGAATTTTTTGCAACTTAGGAAAATATAGTTAATTACTTAAAGACAAAATCAAACTAGGACAAGAATAGCAATGATGAAAAAATTAACTTAACAGGTAAAAAATTAGTTAATTGAACGAGTTGTGTTACCTTACATAATCACATAGTTAACGAGTAGTGTAGTGAAGAAGCTAATGTTATTTCGACCTGAAGTTGTGGCAAAATATAACAAGCGTTGTAACGTGACACGTACTATAATTTCTCTTCTAGTTGATGAAATATTTGAAACTTTTAACGTTAATTATTTGATAGTATCCTCGTTGCATACATCTGCCTTTGTATTATTTGTATTTTGTAAATGACAACTTTGTTATGCGAATTGACCTGAATGAGTAAATGAATGTATCTAAAAAATCAACCAAAGGCTCCAAAAACTTGACATTTTACAAAACATTTAATCAGATTCATTTTATTTCTGTTATTGAAATCGTTGTGCTTGTGTCCGGTTATTCGTTTGTTGCTTATGTCACTAGCGTTTAAGCTACTTACGTTTGAATTTTAAACAAATTCAAAACAATTATTGGAAAAAAAAGTATATGCAGTGGCTTTTGGAAAGAAACGTCATTTGTAAAGAAAAAAATAATTATGTCTTATCTATTCAAGCCATCATTTAGTTTATCAACGATTTTTTATTGTAAAGTACTATTCTATTATTAATTGATTTATCTAGAAACATCTGCCATGAAAGAGTTACTTCAGGCGCTTGGTTCAATTAACGATGCCATTGAATATATACAAAACAACACAGAATCAATATTTCAAGTTACTGTCAACGGTGTTGATTATACACTTGAAAACACTTCAGTAGATTTTGTAGCCACTGTTACATGTCCGAACGGATACGCTGGTGCGGATGGCATGTGTGGTAAGACGTGTTTCCCTTTAGTCCCCTGTCATTTTATAATAGTATATGGCTTGTCTTGATTTCCATTTCAATATATCCTCTTGTTTTGTTATGACAAATTGCACCCGAGCAAACTGTTAAGTCAAATTTGTCTGACGAAATGGCTGTTCTAACTCTATTCATTTATATCAACAATATTGTTGTAAAATTTAGTTGCTGAATAGAAAAAGATGATTTTTTTAAAAAAAATTTGTCGTGCATGAATGTAAAGGTTAATCTAAAATTTATATATATCAATGCACAATTATTATTATTTAATGATTTATTGTATATTCGCATGGTTGTAAAATCTTTGGAAATTAATCTGTTTTATTTTTTTTTGTGAAGAAAAATTTATCTTTTATTTTTTAGAAATATATACTATCAATTTTTTTTATTTTCGTCGCTGCTACCAAATTTGTAAACGCAAAATGATGGGCTTTATTCTTTCTCTTTGTCAGCACATTGTCCAGTGGGAACATATCTTGTTGACGTCGAGTGCATAAATTGCAAAATAGGAACTTATCAACCTTTGACTGGACAGACTGAGTGTTTGTCTTGTCCATCTGGATATACCACAGCCACATTGGGATCTTCGGATATATCTGAATGCTCATGTAGGTTATTTCTGATTATAAAGTAATGAATAATACTAACGATGTTATCAACATTTATTTATTTATAAAAGGAATGAAGTTCTAATAAGAACGATGAAAAGTATAGATAAATATATGCTGTAAGCTGTCGCACAGTGCTATATTAATATACATACATCTTCTATTTATTATCTTGAGAAAATATTGATTGATAGTGAGTCACTGCATAATAAAACACATACAAATTTTGCCATTCTGTAAAACACAAGGACCGAAAATTTAGTATAATTATATAATCAAGAACAATTACGTGTTTAAATTGCATATTAATGACATTAACAGTGTACATCATGCATCCAGGCTCCTTTTATCAATCTCTTACAAACCTTATGTCCAAAACAGATATGAAAAAATTCTTTGTCTATTTCAATTTTATTTCAGTGAAAATATCAAATGAAACTGATGATGACGACGATGTTGACGACAAAAATCAAGTCAAAACGTACAACAACACAAGTAAATGCAATATTTGTTTCATTTAAACTTTTCATTATATGTCTAGTGAAAAAAGAATTTTAGGTACCTAGCCTCAAAGATATTGAATTATTCAAGATTACAGTTGTTTGTCGTCTTGAATATATCTTTGTTTAATTACATTTGTTTCAGTAAAATTCTGAACACTTAACTGTTAAAAGTATTTTAAAGAATTACTATTCTGAAACTATGATAATTGCTTAAAAGTCTCCTTTAAAGGCCAACTATACCTCAGAAATGTTTTAATGTTTTATTTCTCAAAGGCTTTATAACTTTGGTGTACTTTTATAGTATCCAAAACTTACTTATTGACACATAACCTAACTATTTTTATAAATAAAATTAAAGCACAATTATGTTTGTATGGAAGTCAAAATACTACTTTGTTTACATTTTGCTACTTTTATTACAAATTTTTCCATATTTATCCCATCTTTTTCAGGTAACACTTATCTAACATTCTCTAAAACCGTTATTTAAACATTTTAAAATTCATATTTGAACTTTCTTAAGACTTAAACATTAATGTTTCTGGGGAATAATTCGCCTTTAAAATATAAAATTAACATTTTTTCTTTACAAACAGAGAAGATCATTATCATAGTTTCACTAATAACGCTGTTAGTAAGCACAGTATGAATACAATGTCATTAAAAAATGGCAAATTAACTTGAACGGAAATAGGGAATGCAGCGTCCGAAACATATGTTTCTGCATTCGTTCATTTTAGTTAGACCATTGAATAAGAGTGACCTAGATTTTATAGAAAGATAAGCACAGTATATAGTTAAAGAGGCTGATCTTAACTATCTAATGAACACACAGAAATATCTAATATGTCTATACTAGTATTTCATTATTATCTTTAATTATCTTTTTTTCTTTGCAAATGATAATTGAAAGATAACAATAATATGATAATTATGGGACTCTTACGCATACGATTTAATACGATTTCATAAAAAAAAACCGTTTCAACATATTTTCTGAATGTCTTTTAAAAACTACTCTAACATAAAAAAAAACATTTTGAAAAATTTATTTATTTCGGTCCGAAAAAATATAACATTTTTATTTTTCAGATTTGTTTGACAAATATTATGGTTTTGATTTTAGGAATAGTTTAATAAGCGTTTTAACTTTATCTTTACAGCTGTTATCATAATTGTGGTCGTCTGCGTAGTTGTTGTTGTTGTAGTAGTTATCGTTGGCAGTGCTTGTCTGAGGAAACATCTTAAAAGGTAACCTTACTCCACGTTTTTATGAATCCTTATTGTTAAATTGTTATTATCAAATAATCAGTGTGAATATTTAGCATATATTAAAGATACTTGATCTGATAATTTAGACAAAGTTTTAGCATTGCAAGAAGTTTTACAGATGTCGTATGTATATTGACAAACTTTGTTAACATGTAACAAAATGAAAATGGATATTAACTGGTTTTAAATTATCAACCTTGTTTGTTTTGAGTGTCAAAGAAAAAAGATCAAAAGTTGTTTTATATTCTTAAAAGAGCCGCGTCATGACAAAACCAACATTGTAGGTTTGCGACCAGCATGCATCCAGACAAGCCTGCGCATCCGCGCAGTCTGATCAGGATCCAAGCTGTTCGCTTTCAGTTTCTCTACTTGTAATAGAGTTGGTAAGCGAACAGCATGGATCCTGATCAGACTGCGTGGATGCGCAGGCTGGTCTGGATGCATGCTGGTCGCAAACGCATTACGTTGGTTTTGTCATGACGCGGATTAAATATTTTTTTGTTTAAACCTACTGATATACAACAAGGACAGCCATAACGATAGTTTATATAGCAAAATATTCTTGTAGTTATTTGTGTCATTAATTTCCAAAGTTTTTGGTACTTGTATATATTTGTTACAGGGCTAAACTTGAAGTCGTACATATTAATAATACAATATTTCACCGCTGTGGAAAAGTCGCAAAAAAACCAACAAAAAACAATAACAAAAACCAGACAAAAAGCCCCCCCCCAAAAAAAAACAAAAAAAAAACAACAAAAAAAAACAAAAACAAACAACAAAACAACAACAAAAGTACCCCCCCCCCCAAAAAAAAAAAAAAAAAGATTAAAAAAAAGAATGTTTCCCAGGGTAATTATTTTATTATTTAACCACTTTGACTAGCAGTTTAGCTTGGTAGCGTTTAAAGCATTAAAAGATCTGAGGAAGATAACGACTGTAAGACAATTTTTTTTTTCATCAGGAAACGAGTCCTGAATATAAAAGCTAGATGGAAGTTCTCAGGCGTAAGTACATAACTTATTTGCTCATTATCTAGTCATTCCGATTCTGGATTCGACAGTCGGACAGTCCCCGTATATGCAATCAATGTTGTTATATTTTCATCTTCAAGGGATTGTTCGGCATTCAGTGTTGGTGTCCCCCTCCATGTCCAGGGATTGCATTCATTGAACTCCACCTTTGCTTGTTGATCTTTTTATGCCCCCACAAAGTGGGGTGCATATAGCGTTGCACTTGTCCGTCCGTCCGTTCGTCCCTCCGTACGTCTGTCCGTACGTTCCGAAATCCATTGCCAGCCATTGATAACAACATAGTCTAAATTCTATTCATAAGGTTGAATTAAAATTGACAGTCATGCCTTTATTCAATTCATTAAAAATATTTTAATATGTCTTTATGTGTCTCATTTAAATAGCGTTTGCTGTTTACTAAACCAAAGTTTAAACAGGGCAAATGACAAACTCTGATAAGTTTGTAAAGTGAATAATAATATATAAAGTGACAGATATATGAATGGGTATTACCTCTTAATCATAATTACAGTTTCAGCTAAGAGTTTGCTTTCTTGGTTATCATTTTTAAAACTATTTTCTTGTTGTTTTTTCTGTATAGGTAAGTGTTAGTCAGCAGTAATAAAGTTATATCTGTTGCGCTGCATGACAGATGAGGTGGAACTTTGGAAGTAACGTTGTTGCTTAAAGCGAGCATGATACGCTGATTTTAAAGGGATAGTATTAAACGGAAAGTTGGTGTGCATGATAAACTTAATTTGAAAAATAAAATAGAACACTCTCATTGGATAGAATTTAAACTACTAATTACTATTATAGGTGTTGCCTTTGTCAATACAAAGAAAGAAAAATGTGGAAATGAGTTGTGAAAATTTAATTCGACCGGCTTAACTGAAAATTTGTATGAAATGCTTTTTTATCTAAATTTTGTTTTCGTTATTGCATCAATAACCATTTTTATGACTTTGACACTGTTTTTTTTCTTTACTCTACACATGTTTATTTTTCTTTAACATAGACATTTGGATATAATGTTTGAGCGTGTTTACTTATTGTATAGAATTAGAATATATATGTTTTAGATAGAATGTTTGAGCTTGATAGCCTTATTTTATAGAGTTAGAATATATATGTTTCAGATAGAATGTTTGAGCTTGATAGCCTTATTGTATAGAATTAGAATATAAAGGTTTTAGATAGAATGTTTGAGCTTGATAGCCTTATTTTATAGAATTAGAATATATATGTTTTAGATAGAATGTTTTAGCTTGATAACCTTATTTTATAGAGTTAGAATATAAAGGTTTTAGATAGAATGTTTGAGCTTAATAGCCTTTTTTATAGAGTTAGAATATATATGTTTTAGATAGAATGTTTGAGCTTGATACCCTTATTTTATAGAATTAGAATATATTACAATTGGAAGAAATGTTTAAAGATATAGAATATATATATTTTAGATAAGATATTTGAGTTTGTTTACCACTTTTATATATTTAGAATATATTACTTTTAGATAGAATTTGCTTGTTTACCTTTTTAATAGGATTAGAGTATATTACTTTTAGATAAAATATTCGAGATTGTTTAACCTCTTTTTATAGAATAAGAATATATTACATTTAGATGAAATATTATGGCCTGTTTCACTCTTATCTATAATAAAACTATATTATATTCAGATATTATTTTTGAGTTTGCTTACGTCTTATATAGAATTAAATTGGTATTTGTCGATTCTGTATTCTATTGTCTCTAAAATATGTGGTGTTTAATATATTGCTTGATTAAAATGTTTTTTCCGCTTTAATACTGCCTCGAAGAATTATATCAAACCTTTGTGAGTCAACAATTTCTCATTTTCAGGAAAGAACGTTGTTTTAGACATTGTAAAAATACAAATCTAAAAATTCTGTAAAGCATTTATCCTTTTATGGAATAAATTAAAAAGATGTTTCTGTAATACTTTTGTATGATCTGTATGTAATAATGTGTATCCCATTTATTTGACCTGTTCTCGCGTTCCTTCACTGATAAGGATGATTTTGCTCATAGACTTTACAAAATGTATCAAGTATACCAATATTGATAATCAATATTATAGTCACTTCGAACTTATAGTTTTGACACTGGGTCACTCACTGACTTTTTAAGTAATATGTTTTAAGAAAATGGCGATACGATGAGAAATCAAACACAATTATTTTGGTTGATGTATCAGGTGTTTAATCGTGATGCAAGTCATCGTTTTGAAAACGGCTAGATTTTTACAGGGTTTGTTTGTCTGATTGGATTTTACGTCACACCGACACAGTATAGGTCATATGCCGGCGTTCCACCTTTACAGGTGTAGGAAAACCTTATATGCCCTGTTTTTGCATTATTTCAGGTAAAAACGAGCACCTGAGAAGAACCACCGACGTTCCGTAAGCTAGATGGATAGCTTCATCACATGAAGGAATCCAAAGTCCTTGTCAGGATTTGAACCCACAGTGGTGAGGGGCAAGTGGTTTGAAGTCAACTACCTTAACCACTCGACCACGGACGCCCCGTTTTTAAAGAGACTTCATACTGTTTATTGCCTCCACCAACGTTTTCCGACTCAACTGGTTGTCCTGGTATAGCAATCAAAATAAATATGACGGGAAAGTTTAAATGTATAGCATTAAACACTTCAATCATTTAAAAATAAATATGTAATAATTTTATCAAATTTGATTTCGGTAATAATGTTTTTGAAAATAATATAACATATGAATCATTTTTCAACAATAAACATGTTTATTAAAACAAAGAATTATTGACAGGCTTATAACCAAAAAAACTTACCAGTTCCACAGAATAAAACGTCAGCCAATGCTTATGACTTTTTCTGTTCCTGCCCCCCAGGTCCGACTTGTTCTGGTATAGCTTTTGATAACGCTCTCAAACTTTTACCCAAAGACGGCCATGATATGTCGAGCTTCAAACAAATCGAGAAGAGTAATAGACGTTACTCTAATGCAGTGGTTGGAGTACACTTAAGAGGGCTTTTTATTTAGTGACAGGGTTTTCATCCTGTCGCCAAAGGTTGATTTTTGCAACAATAACGGCATCAAACCAAGCAGAAGGATTCTCTGGCAGTTTTGATTTTGGTCTTTGTAAGAACAGATCGCAGGCATTGTTTAGAACCGACAAGTTCTTCTGAAATGAACTATAAGGCACATGATTGTTCTAGTTCTGTATATCCTTCCTTCAATATATTCTGCGGCTTCATTGACTAGAAAGTCTGTTTTTTTTTATTTTGGCCGTTCGCCTTTATTGTTGCTGGGTAGAAGTTTTGAAGCAGATTGTCCAGGGATTGTTTTTCAATCGTTTCATCCGGAAATTCGATGCCCTTTTCAGTGCAATAAAACTTCAGCACCGTGACGGAACATTAAATTATTTATGGTCAAGATTGATGGACGCTTCGAGGGGGAATACTCTATGTTGTCAGAGCACTTGAGGGCAACAGTCAAAACTTTTGACCGGTCAAATGTATCACCCATATGTTAAACAACTGGAACTAGGTACATTGTAATGTGTAACTATATGTTTGCTATAATACTATACATCTCAATAGCAGACTCAGTGAATAAATAAAATATAATATTCGAACATTCAGATACGCTTGAGTCACCAACAGTAGAAGTAGTGTATCATAAGTGAAATATAATACCCGAACATTCTGATATACTTGAGGCACCAAAAGTAGACGTAGTATATCATAAGTAAAATATAATACCTAAACATTCTGACATATTTGAGGCTCCAAAAGTAGAAGTAGTATATCATAAGTGAAATAGAATAATCGAACTTTCTGATATACTTGAGGCACCAAAAGTAGAAGTAGTATATCATAAGTGAAATATAATACCCGAACATTTTGATGCACTTGAGGCTCCAAAATAAGAAGTAGTATATCAGACTGGACAAGACAAACACTTTTGTTGACCATATAGTTATAGTGACATTATGCCGATTCAAGTGTAAATGATGCGCAGACTTGATAAAGTAAAAAGATAACTTTAAATATTGCTATAATTGTGTTCAATTTTATATTTTACTTGATTTTGTAAAGTCATCTCTGTAATACCATTCGTAATGAATCGGTATTTTCAATTTTTATATAGAGAAAGGGCAGTATTTTTATGATGCAGGTAGTCTTGTTATTTTATTGTTTTCACTATAATAATTGGTCGATCACCATTACTAGAGTCAATCTTTTGAATAAGCAAAAGTAGGCAGCAAAAGAAACCAGCATCATAAGTCTTGAATAGTACTTCATTACCTTTGCTACTATAAGAAGTAACAATGTTGATATGGTCTCAACTGATTAAAAGAACTCAACCGATTATGAGTTTGGGGTGCGGCCGAAGGTCATTATCATAGTCGGTCTTATATGACGTCATCAAGGGAAATTGGCTTTAATGTGTAAGTGTGGTAACAAATTCGGATGCATAGATTCAAAGAATATACCTGAAGCATAACATTTCAAAGTTTTATATTGACTAAAAAACCCAACTACAACAACAACAACAATACAAAAAACATCATAAAAACACACAAACAATAATAAAATAAAAGTTAAAAGTAAAAACGAAAACCACAACAATATAAAACAAAATGAAAAAAATACGACTTTAATTCTACTGACCTTTGTACCAAGACAGGACAGTAACTCAACATCTGAGCTTTAAATTAGTAGAATTTTAAACGACAGAAATATAAAAGATTTTTAAACAAGCAAGTATCACAGTTATCATGAGTTATCACAAACATTGTTATATTTGCCATATTTTAAGTCAATTTGTTGCCAAAGCAACCACATTTTTCCCAATAAGAAGAAAAAAAGTGCATTATATCGGGATATCCAGACTGCCATCTACCCCCATATTTCAAGTTTCATAAAAAATATTTTCAGTACTATTTTCAGACGGACTGATGGACAGAGGGTAAACCTTAAGTCCCCTCAGGTTGAATCGGTAGGAGACTTAAGGATGAGCTACTTTCGCATCTACCAATAAATGTGTTGAAGACGTTAATTCACGTCAAAGACGATCTGAATATGATTGTTTGCCTGGAATAAATTTAAATCGTCGGGTCCATTATTCATATATCGGGTTGATTCCTAGTATGTTATGAATTAACCTCTTGTTACCAGCTCTTGCATTTGTACTTGATTAATTCTTTATTATGCTTTTAAAATGGTGTTTCGATAGATTTGTAAAAAAATGTAAAAAATAAATTTTTATCGTTAATGAAATCAATAGTTAATTTTTGACAACATAAAAGCGTTTTTTTGCTGATCGAATATTTACTATAATGCATATGTATTGTATGATGATACGTACTGGTTTGTGAAATTCAAATAAAGAAATAGAATTTGTTGTCATAGGTGTAATATCGGATTCACAAAAATCCTATATACTACATGGTAAATTCAGCAAGAAACGCTTTGATATCTAATTGGTGTATTTCTGTTTCTATATTAAGTGATTCAGATTGCACAGCAAGATAACTGTTTTATCAATTATGAATGTTGAAATATAAGTACATGTTTTGATATAAGAACAATGCATTATTCATATTAACTACGTCTATTTCAGTATTTTCTATCACATTTGTTTAAGTATAGAATAACACATCTACAAAATTGAATTACAAGTTATTTTATAGTATATCAACGGCACATAAAGCCTTAAAATGAATAAAACTTTTTTCCGTCGAACTGGCAAAATTGTACTTTTAATTAATGATATAATTCGTTTTATACCAGGTTAGGTGCTAATCACATGACGACAAAAGGGTATCAAGTAATTTGTAATAAAAGTAGCAAAATGTATTTTGACTTCTATACAAAGTACTAACTCAATGTTACTGTATATATTATCAAAAGGCCAAAGAAATAAAGATATGGTTTAGGTTTTATTGAAACATTCTATACTCTGATTAATATTATAATCACCAGTTAACTACAAGCAAAAAAAAAAATAAACACAACAAAACGACAAGTAAAATAATGATAATTAGATATTATTCAACAAGAAAATCAACATTGATAAACAATCAAACGACTTACTAAAAGTATCATGGTGATCAAACGAACACCTATTCTGTATACTGTATTCTTAAGTTGTCACAAACATGTATGAACGGGGAAAAACAACAGCTCTTGATGATCTTTTCTTTAAAGCTATGCAATTTCCTTGCTGCATTGTTGTAAATACAAATTTAATTTTGTATTTTAAGAGTCAATTTTAGGTGCATTTATTCAAGTCAAGATTTTCATAATGCAGTGATACGTCCTAAAAGGCACCTTTCTCAATTGGGGTTTCAACATAATTGTTAGGTTCGGCCATAGAAGTGCCTTTCGTGTTGAATTTCGTATGACAGTTGACATCGGCTTCTGAAAGAGTGGACGCTGAGCGTACCATATTAAGGCTGACAAAGCTTCCGTTAGTCCCCTTCTTTCTGAATCGTCGTCTGATAAAGTAAAACATAAGCAAATTATTGGTCAGAAAGGTTAAGTACTCAATGCATCTGAATAGCGCAAACGTCAATTACTGTAAAATGAATAATAAGTATCATTTAAAACATATATTTTTTAAGGCACATTATGCCTCAGAAATGAATAATCATTTACTTTATAAAGGACAAACATGAGTTTTATAACGTTAAAATAAAGACTTTAGAGCATGTAAGATTTTTTTCACATAAAGAAAGTAGCACTGAATATGACAATATTTGTTATAAATGTAGCAAAAATGCAAACAAAGTAGTATTTAGACTTCAATACTAAATACTAAATCACCATTACTAATTATCAAAAGGCAAGAACAGCAATAAATGAGTAACGTTTTGGAACGTTTTGGAAACTGTATGAGACCTTCTAAGCATTACTAGATAAAATGGGCTTTTACCCAAATCCATTGGTACTATAGACCCTAAGAAATAAGAGGAAAATGAAGTACACGTGTACATAAAAAAGGACTATGCATCGATAAGCTAGATACAGTAGTTTAATGCTGGTGGGGCGGAAAACTAAGTCATAACTGACATTATACGTAAATGGAAGAATATTCTAAATATATAAATCCTATTAGGATCTTCTGTCATGTAAATGCATAGATTGTTTATGTTTGTACCAAACTATGATATATACTATTTAAGTGTAAATTTTTATGTTTTCTTACAAAATGTTACCATATAAAATGGATTCTGTCAGACTTCTCAAAATGATAAAGCTTTGTTTAACTAAATATAAAATGTAATGAATATCTCACACACCAAATGCATATTATATATGCAACATTTTTACTAGCTTAGATTATTTGATTGAAACAACTACAATAACAATAATTGATATGTAACTTGGGCTATAGTTACCTGTCAACGTATTTCCACAAACAAAAGCTGACAACAAGAATGGATGGTACAAAAACAACTATACAGACGACGACCACAACAATGATTATAGCTGCAAAGTTAAGATAAAGAAAGGTTTATACAAAAAACTATTCATGAAAATTAAACATCTGTCAAATAGGAATGATAACAATATTCAACAGTGCATGCTACATAATGAAGACTTTTAAACTGGATTAATGTTATTATTGTGAATTTAAAACGACTGTTATTACAAAACAATCTATTTAAAAAACATTATTCAAGCCAATTATTCATTTAAAACTTAAAGATACATTATGCTTAAAGAAGATATTTGGAAATACTTATAAATTGCTATACAGTCTCTTTTTAAATATAAAATCTATGGATTCTGAATATTACACACTATAGGTAAACACAGTATGAATAGATAGTTTTTTTTACAAACTCAGTCTAGCATTTTTTTTAAAAGAAAGGACCAAATTAATAGAACCAGTAACAGGGAACATAGTTGCATTGTCTGACTCAAATAAAACATATACAGTCTGCATTTCTTAGCTGTCAATAAATGTTTGCAATAAAATTTATTTCCCAAACATGACATAGTATATCTTAGATAAAATAGAGCAAACTAGAATTCCTGAAGAACGTTTAAAATGGCTCAGTGAAAATATTGCAGGCATGGTTTTATTGTTCCTGTTCATATATGGTACTGTAAAATGCAAGCTACAGTTCAAGACTGCCCACCCCCCTCCCCAGTACCTGCTCGAGCAGAATTCAATATTTGCACATGATATTTACAAAGTTTTTTTTTTTAATTAGAAACATCCACGGATACGTTCATACGGCGGTTATCATGGAACATTTTTGAAGACAAACTCGTGCCATTCAAAAAAGGTGATATATAGTCATATGTAAAAACAATGTATGATCTAAACGAGAAAACAATGGCTGTAACTTAACAAAATAGACTTCGAAAGGAGGTCAGAGTTTATGAAATATTGCAAACAAGACCATCAAAGAAAGGCGGCGTTTAATGAATGCATGAAGTCTTGATATCACTGGAGCAATATTCAACGCCTTTTGAGAAAAACAGTGGCTAAATTGCACAATATTTTAATTTCACTTGAAAAATAATGGAAGGTTGATATGAACAAATGTTGCACTTACTTGTTTTGTTGTCCTTGTCTTTCTTTTTGTCTTCATCATCGTCATCATCGTCATCATCATCATCATCTTCTTCTTCTTTTTCTTCTGGAATTTAAAATGAAAACTAAAATATGCTAAGTACATTTTGATTCGGTTCTAGACTGTTAATTGTTAATTTATAGATTTATAGAATTTTTATGCATGTTATACGTGTTGAAAACATTGAAAATACATATATCATTATTATTATTTCTTCCCTTGAATAATACTTAATACTTAAATATAGTATAATAACATGGTCTTATAGTTTTATAAAATATAACTACAAATTACAAACCAGAACATTCAGATATATCCGAAGAACCGTATGTTGACGTGGTATATCCGGAAGGACAAGATACGCATTCACTCTGACCAACCAAAGGTTGGTAGGTTCCTACTTCGCAACTGATACACTGGAAGTCGACAAGGTAGGTTCCCACTGGACACTGTGCTGATAAGTTGAAAAGAAAAAAAATGACATCTGGAAAAAAACTTCACACATTTCGTACCAAGTTGAAATTAAAAAAGGAAAACACTGTAAGCCATAAATTGCAAAAAATAATAGCAGTATATTGCAATTACAAATTAAATATCAATGATTAAATATATATTATATTTACGTTCATTTTAAAGAAAGGAAGTACCATACAATCGTTTTTTCATCCAATTTTTGACTAACAAGAGGTGATTGTGACTTCCCCTCGTATTTATCCGAGGTACAACCCGTTCACCGTTCAATTGAAAAGATTCACATTATCAAAATAACCATTAATTGTTATGGTAGTAACATAAATAAATTTCAACGAGAGTCTGGTTGACCTAAGACACTGCACTTTTCCCGAGTATGTATATTGATGTATTAAGTTTCAAGTAGATACCAGCTATTTTTTTATTTACTTATGCGTAATACAAGAATTAAGTATATAAAAATAATGCCTACAAATTTACGCGGTAATTGTTTTTGGGCACTGCACTTTTCTTTCACGAGGTCTATCTACATGTATCTGTTAAGATTTAAATTGATATCCGATATTTTTAGTATTGCAATCAAATGTAACAAATAGAAATAACCTTAGCAAACTATTGCCAATGAGATTAATTATAATTTTTGCACTTTCACTATGATATATTTACCAGGCATAAATTTGAAATTTGAAAGTTGATAGCTCTATTTCTTTTTCAATTTTTCCACGGAGGAAAACTAAGTACGTAACGTTTCACAGGGCAAAAACTCAAAAAGAAAGTTTGAATGAATCCTGGACTAACAGATGTTCTAACTGACGTTATTGGGTAATTATTTGATTTGAAACCCAACAGGCATTTTTTTGCATTCCACCAGCACATTTAGCTCGAATATAGTGCGTACACATAATTCAGATGGTTACCCCTGCAAAGTCAATGATGGTAGACGGACGTACCAACATGTCGGATTGTGGTCTTTTTCGTTAATAGTTATGTTGCAATTTCCCAAGATAAACCAGTAAAAATGTCCACTTAATCCTACGGGTCCATGTGGTTATCTTGTTTGTTTTTTACTAAGCTTATACAGAATGAAGCTCCTAAACCATTGGATGTTAACTTGAAAAGAAGAGCGGAAGGACGGACGTTTGGACTATAAAACGCCGTCTTCGAAGATGATAATAATAATAATATTTCTTTTAAAAAGTCAAGTTGAAAACAGGACAAGCCGCCCGTTATTTAAACAAAACAACTATCAATTACTTACCACATAGTCCATCTGCACCAGCATATCCGCTCGGACATGTAACAGTGGCTACAAAATCTACTGAAGTACTTTCCAGTGTATACTCAACACTGTCGACCGTAACTTGAAATATTGTTGCTGTGTTGTTTTGCATAAATTCAATAACTTCGTTAATTGAAGAAAGTGCCTCAAGTAACTCAGTCATGGCAGATGTTTCTAGATGGATAAGATAATAAAAGTAGTTGCATTCAAATCAGTTTGAGCAATTTCATGTATTCTTAAAAAACGTTATTACGCAACGCAATGATCAAGGGATATTTTTTATTATTTCTATAGTAAAATGCATTGTTACTTACATATTACCATATATGTGCTTGAATTCATTTATCATAGTAAAACATTTATTCGGGAGTAGCCATGGCGTATGCAAACCTGTTTCATACTGGGTTATATTCAAAGTTGAGTAACATGTAGATAAACAGATATCGATATTTGAAACAAACCAATAGAACAACAATAATGTCCGATGGAGATGAGATGAGTGAGACCGTACTAAGACAAGTACATATGTAGCACTTATTTTTAAAAACGATAAAAATGACGAAGAATCAAAGTTTTCAAGCATTGGATCACAGTCAATACAATAAACTATAAGTCATAAACATCATACATTTTTATCGTTTAATGTAAACTAGATTAAGGCGAAACATATAAAGCAAGGTATACAATTTTTTATTTATACCTGTTCCGCTAGTAAGATAATCTGCTAGGTCTAAACTGTCTGTATCAGTTAGTTGGATAGAGAATTGCATCGCTAATGTTGTAGATGATGTTCTTCTTTTGCGATTTTGGTTGACACTGGAAACCGTTGTTGTAATTGTACACGCATTGTTAGAAATACAACCAACTCCAGATAAATTATTTTCAACTGCTGCAATAAAATCAGTTTGGGCAGATGCGGGAACCGGCTGAGTGTAGTCCACAGTTGCTTGTGTCCCGAAGAAATCAGGTCGACTTAATTCTAGAAGTGTACAAATTATTATGACTTTACTTTTTTCCAGATATTAGAATTATTTTTTTTTATTTTCAAAAACACTAGTGTATAATCAAGGAAAATGAACTAAACTCTAAACAAAGCTTTAACTTATACCAACGTAGCAATTGTTGAAGGTTGAAATGATATAAAAATCAATTGAAACAAAAAAATAACTAAATATATTTAATACTTTGTTTGCATCAATTTCACAGATTAAAGGTTAAGAATCTATACACTAACACATTTATTCAAAGCCCCCATAAGTTAACCTTACTCTATTATTAAAAAGAATATCGCAGATCGGAGATCATCAGAAAATGAGATTAGTAGAAATATGTAATGCGCAGACTCGGTTTGATTGAGGCTTTTCTTGAAAAAAAAAATAATGAAAAATGAAGGCAAAGAAATTATCCTTCCATTAGCAGAAGAACAAATGAATTCTATAAATTCCAGAAGGTCAACTAGGTTATATGCGAACATAGATAAAAAGTACTGATACAATTTATTCAAAACACCAAATGTTGGCTTGAGAAGCAAATAATCGTTGAATCAATTTCTTAATAATACTCACGGACACATTCTGGGACTTTGTTTATTGGAAGCCATTGGTGGCCTGTTGAATCACCACATGTGTATTCAACAAAATTGGTCTGTCCATTAGGCAAAGCCTTATCAGGAAGACAGGTCATGTTACATTTCTGCAGAGTGTTTGACACATTCCGGCAGTTCACTACTGTTCCAATCTTTCTTCTTAGGCCTGGACAAGCTAAAATAATATTTCGAACCTCATTAATGTAAACACTTGATATCTTAACAGATTAAAATTGATTACAATGAAATGGCTTTTTGTATTTGATCTATTCTTGTATGTCGTTTCAAATCCTCGAATTACTGCAAATATGTAAATATAAAAAGTGGAAACAGTGTTTACAATGCTTTATAATATTCTCACTTTGACTGTTAAATAACACTTTCTGGAAATTCCCTGTCTTTTATAGGTTTTAAAATTATAAAGTTAAACAACAATCATACTTGGACATGCTAGGTCATTACAAGTAGCAGATTCTGTGTTATCTCCTTCACAATCATTGCCATAAGGAGATGGAGTTGGATTATTACAGTTCCTTGACCTAGTATTAAGACCGCCGCCACAGGTGACGCCACATCCGCTCCATTCACCCCACTGACTCCAGCCTCCATTTACTGTTTCGAAATAAGAAAGAAAGATAACGTATATAAATGTCCCTTTGCATATCAGTGTGCTAAAGTCAGGAGGAGTTGTAAGCAATAGATCCAAGGTCTTAATATTCTGTCCCAAATATTTGTTTTTAGTTTTTTTATGTTAAATTTTAATTCAATTAAATACATATTTAGTTTGGCAAAACAAATATTTGTTGAAAGAATAGTATTCTGCATATATTAACACAAAATCAACTTTCAAGAAGCTAATCTGTAAAAGCAAAACATTTATGAACAGATATCATCATAACATAATGACAATATTTTCAATTCAGATTTCTAATATCGATCAGACTCCTTATTTTCCGCTGAAAATCATAAAATCTTCAGTGTAGTTTTTTAAGAAGCTTTGAAAAGCAACATACCTGGAGGTATATCACACAACACACCGGTATATCCATTATTACAAGAGCAGCTATACGTTCCATTGCCAGACTGACAATCACCTTGAATACACCGGTTGTTAATGCAGTAATCTGGAGGTACGTCACATAAATCCCCAGTCATTCCTCCATGACAAATGCACGAGAAATCGTTTACCAGGTTCACGCAAGTATGATCCCCACATGGGTTGCTAGCACATTCATCAAGCGCTAGAAATGAATGTTAGACTAATAATTATATTTTTAAAGTTTTTTCTTGTTTATCTGTTTATATTAATTTCGTATAAAAATGTAATAATTTTACAAGCAGGATACCAGCATTTCTATTATGAGGTAAAAAGTAAGTGATTTTGTTAAACACATCTTACATATTTATTATTTAGCTTGAAATGATGTTATTGACTACTCACGGTCACATGAGGTTGGTGTTATAATAGCAATGCCGTCTTTAACATATGGCAAAATTTCTGTCATTGAAAATACTTCATCACTGTGTGTTACTGCGCATGTCTCTGATAATGACGCAATATCATCAGCCGTAAGTGCGCGACCATAAAGGGCTAATCCCGACACATACACCCCTGTAATAAACAAAGATAATAAATTAAGAAAGACCGTCAATATTCCGTACAAGTTTACAGTACGATTTGAAATAAGTCTAAATGGCTTGTATATCTTAAATAATAATGCCTGCAACATTTTCAATCTAGCCGTTTATATGAATTTATTTGCTACGGTTTAACAATATGTAAATACATTAACTATATGTAAATAGAATAAAAATTTTAAATGATAAGTTATTTGCTGTATCACACAAATCTACTTCAAACTAAATTACATTTATTTCTAAATTTTATTTTCAAATACGTATAAATATTTATCTATGAGTATATTTTAGAAAACCCTATTGCACTGATTTCATTTTAAAAACATTTCAATTATGAAATTTTTGAAGAATTTCTAGTACAGCGCATTAAAATCTCAAATGTTCATAAAACACGCTTAAAATAATCGGAAAAAAGAAGAGACGCACCATTAGAATCCGCAACTATTCCAATACTTCCAAAAGATATTGTGCGTGACTGGTCCATTGTAATTCCCCCCTCATCCACCTCCAATAAACCTGCCACGTATAACTGCTGGTTGCCAGATGCTATATCAATTTTACAAATGATATGAGTCCAATGGGTGGATGACAACCTTACATTTGTCAAAGCAACATTTCTGAAAAAGTAATAGTAACCCTACATTTTGTTCTAGAACCAAGGTCTATTACATTTTTATATATTTTGTGTATATAATAATTTGTGTACTAGATTATTATAATTCATAGGAATTAAAATCAAAACTATTTCAAAAATATTCATTATGTATTAAGAGTTAATTTATTGATTTCTAAATAGCGTTTTACTTTACATTTACTGTAACATTTTGTTGTTTATTCTTAAAAATCATTCTATACTGAAAAATAATCATGCATATTATTCAATATTTTGTTTTCCTCTGACACATTGGTACCTTACTTTTAAGTTGACACATTTAATAGTTAAAATAGCGTCAATAAATGAGAAATCATAAATATTTGCTTACCCTGATCCAACCTGTATTGAGATCTCATTGGCTACCCGCAGAGTTAGTATATCACCGTTGGAATCAGCAATGTAGATTGTCACCTCTTCATTTAAGTCATCAAATACTTTCAGCCAAACAGACATAGTCACGACAGAAAGCTTATCAGCCGTAAACGAACCTATAACTGTCCTTCCGTCTAAACCATTTACGAACACATCAAAGAAGTCACAATCATCTGCAGAGGTGCTGCTTGTTTGACTAGTGGCTTTTCCAGCTGGACATGAAAGACAGCTAGATTTACCTTCTTCTGGTTGGTAAGTGCCAATTGGACAAGCTGAACATGGTTCCATTGTTGTAGTTGAAGAATACCCAGGACTACATATTTCTGCAATTTGTTTTAAAGATTTACTTATAATTTGAATTTCCATTTAATTATGTGTCTAAAATATATACATTTCTTGTAGTTATTTATTTTCATTAGAAAATGCATACTTTTCTATATTATGAATATTGGAGATTAAATAAAAACATTAATAGAAATAAAAATAAAAATAACATAAAACAATATATTTTACAGGAAGTTTACATTCCTCTTTTTAAAGGTATTAACAACATTAACCGTTTTCATATGTAGATTTTGCAACTGTCATATCATGATCTATAATGCATTATTAAATGTAAAAAATCACTAAGACGCATCTAAAATTGTTAAGACTAAAGATTTAAACGTACGGAAAAGATGCATCAGGGTTATTCGTTTTTGAGCCTATATTTTCCTAATTATTATAAATATCCTTTTTTAAATGCCTTTAACACACGAGTGTCTTTTCATTTGACTTGTTAAGGGTTATAATATAAAATTATCAGGGTTTTCTTTACGTCATACTGAAGCAAGTCATTTTAACATGGTACCGAGCATCAAGTACATTAACAAGTGTGCAGTCTGTTTGATTATATCGGTTAAGGCATTGTTATCGTCTCCGTTAATGTATCAATTTGTATGCATTTCTTTTATGAAAGTACAAGGAAGCTTTCAGCATTTATTGATTACTTTCCTTAGGATGTTTCTTTTGATTTTTAAGCACATTGTTTTCTAAAGTTTTTATTTATATCATTACATTTAAAAACATACCGAAACTATTCAAGAAAAATGTTAACTCACTTAAGCACTTGTTAATATCTTTGGCACCAGTATCCAAAGTACTGTAACCTTCTGGACATAAATCACATTGGCTAGCCCCTTCATGGTCCATATATTCTCCTATCTTACAGAACTCACAGTTCCCTGTATCAGAGTCCAAGTAAAACCCAAGTGGACAGGGCTCTGAAAAGAAACCCAACGGATTCATAAATATGCGTTGTTGTAGTTGGTAAGAAAACAAATAATGTTAATGGGATGGATAGCCTTTTAAATTAGTAAAAGTACATCCTGATTATTTAATCCAAGCGTGATACTTTATCCCTCGATCTGTATTATTAAAATAATATTTTCGAAAAAACTAAAAGTAAATACCGATTCGCCGAAAATAAATCAAACAATATGTTTTCAATTTCAGTTAATAAAATGCTCTGAACCTATTCGTCCATAACAGTATTTTGATACACTGGAAAATAATGTTTTTGAAAATCTTACTACATGACAAACTCCCTGTATCCACTTTGTATCCAGGATTGCAAGACAAATCCGCGGTACCCCTCGTTACGCCGTCAACTGGTAAAGTTAAACCCTGTACGTTTAACATAATACCGTCATGAGCATCTTGCTCTATTTCATCTGCAATACTGTTCAGATCACTTAAAATCTCCGTGTAAGCGTCCTGTGCTGACCGTTCCCCTTGTTCCCATTTCTTCTTAACATTGAACCTTATTAAACCGTAAGCATTACGTTTGTAGATATCATGTGAAGTTACAGATTTCCGTCTTCTTCTTGCAGTTTCACCGCAGACAACGTCTAAATTTTCTATTTTGCACGTGTTGTTGTCGGGACATATAGAGTTGTCGACATCGGCTTCTACTCCGGCTAAGTAGACTAAAACCTGTTCTTTTATCTGTGTTTTTGTGTCATTGTCATTGCAGTCTCCGTCATAGTACAATTCCATTGGTAGATTTAACCAAGGTAAAGTCGAAACTGCAATACAGTGTGATGAATATACATTTTATTATCACTATATTTGTTAAAGGAGAGAAAAAGTAAAATTTAGTCTCAATGTGTCCTATTTAGTTTGTCTGTTTGTCTTAAAAATAGATGAAAGGAAAGCTATCATCATTATTTATTAATTGTCGAATTTATATGGTAAACCGATTAAAGGAAGTTTGTCAAAGGCAGAATATATAATGTCTCGAAAGCAAACTTATGTTTGTATTAAGTTTATTCAACGTGTTTATTTTCATAGACAAGTTCCGTTTTCATTGAATTTCGCAGAAACATAAATTCTTTAGCTGAAATCCGAATATAAAAGTTATACCTGATGCAATATAAAAATGTTTTAAAACCCTTTAATTATGAAAGAAGTGTTTTCCAGTAAGAGGTTAACTCACCTATGCAGTCAGGAAAAGCGTCTAAAGGAAACCAGTTTCCACTATCTTGACACGATAACCTCCCCTGGAATTGCGATCCAACAGACGGAATATCATATCCTGATTGCAAGACATGACATGAAGAGGTCGAGCATTTACAGAATCAGTTGTTAAGCTTCCATGCGTAGGCGGATCTATAGTCGGACATTCAACCACTAGGACGTTGAAATAGAATTAAAAGAAATTATTTTATTTCCTTACCTAGTGAAAAGAAGCAACATCTAAAAACCACGAAAACTTACAATAACATTATCTTGCAAACTAAAAAAATGTAAATAAATATCGAATGATCACTCATTAAAATAAGCGATACAAATTGATTTTTTACGACAAATGAAATAGATAAAGATGTAAACAGGCGTTTTGTACATTTGTAATTCTTAATACTTTGTCTTACCATGTTGAATAAAATAAAACATACATTAAATAGATTTTCTGTGAACTTTGGCAGGAATTTGTTGAATAGGTAGCAAAACTTTAGTATTTCATTTACGGCGTTCGTTATCTTTTGCACTAATTACGGCTTGTGAAATCTAGTGCTTACATAGAACAAACAGATTTAAAACTTAATAAAATACCTTCACAGAACGGTTGGTGTTCAGATCCCCAGCTCCATTTCCCTTTGTCAGTATTTCCATCTCGTTCACAAGTTATAAGATTTGTTCCATTTAATGGCAGGTTAAGATCACAGTAGAGTAAACAGGAAACACCATTATAAAATGAGGTATCGCTGCAGTTGTACATCATAAAACGGGCATCATCTAAAGCATCAGTTGGACCAGTGGAACATTGAATCACTGAATACAAACAGAAGTTTAAGATATACGTATAGTTTCAACGTTTTTTAGGTTTTCTAATCATCTTTTGCTTAAGCAGGTCTCAAATAATTATTCATTCCTCTCGTCGTCTGATATAGGGCATGAATTATATCAAGAATAGTTATCGTAGTACTGCAAATATAATATGTATTTGAATGAATAGAATAAAAAGCAAAGAACAAAAGGTTGTAGAACTTTGATCATTAACAAAAATTTCTTTAAAATGGGGAATTTTAAATACAAAGAAAACAAAAAATAACGTTGGAAATTCGATGGGAAAAGATTCAAGTATGCAGAATTGTAAAGGTTTTACTTAAAACAATTTAATTCCAATCGGAAAAAATGAGATATTCACCTTTAACTTCTAAAACAATTGTGCATTCAGAAAGTGCTGCGAAGGAATTACCAGCACTGTCTGTGACTTTATACTTCACCGAATGTAAACCCTCTGACAAAATGTCTCCTAGTTCAGGACCAGAATTTTTTAATACGCTAACATTACTATCAACGTTGTCAGTAGCCGTTGGGACAATCCATGTGACAGATGTGTTAAAAGTACCACGATCAGCGTAGAATATCTGAGTGGTCTGGCAAGATATTAGAGGGGGGTCATCATCTGAGAAAGATTTAACACCATTACAATTTATTAAAATTTACAAGTTTTTTTGTATATTCTTATAATTGCTTTTGTCATTGAGCCCCGATCCTTCAAAATATTCATAATTTAATTGATATTAGCAAAGACTGTTTTGTAAAGATTGCAACTATGTAACGTTAAATAAATTAACAGTAAACAATTAATCTTTGTATGAATAAAATAAAAACGGGAACAAAACATTTAACTAAACATATTCTGGAAACAAATAACATTAAAAATAAACAGAACACAACAACGACAACATAACCAAGAAGAAAAAATGAAAGAAAGAAAAAAAATCAATTATATTTTAGTACACACCAACGCAACTAACTTCAGCTGTTTCAACAGACCATGTCTTATCCGATTTACATGTCATTTTAGACGGCCCACTTAGCTTAAATCCCTCATCACATGTCATCAGACAGTCATCATCGAAGTCATAATTGTTATCATCACATGCTATGATTCCATTAGTAATGCTAAATGGTGAGTTGCATGTAACTTCTACAACGGTATAAAATGTGTAATTCAGGTTAATGATTTACTTATTTTATCAACAATCAAATAAATTTACCATACTCTGGCATCTTATAACTGTTTTAATGTAAACAAATTAAAAGTAAACAATTAAATGTCACGATTCATGGACCATCATACCCATTAATATAAATAAAAACCCAGACTCCCCCTTAATAATATTTACATTTATCAAAAATAAATTTGCTTGATAGTAGTTTTTAAATTTCTTTAAAGGCATCAGTTGTCATTTGCAGTTTAGTATAAAAGTAAGAAAGGGAAGCAACCCAAGTAAAATTACTTTCACATTTCGGTGAGTTATCCCACATTTCGTTCTGTTGGCATGTAGATATGTTACTACCAACCATTTCGTATCCATCAAAGCATTCGAACGTGCATTCTCCACCGTATATATAACCGTCCGGACACGACACTTTCCGCCCATTCGTCGGCGTAGCTGGCTCATTACATGTTATGTCTATAATATAACACGAAATACTATTACAAACTGATAAATTGTCAGCCAAATATAAAAATCCTGTAACATCAACACTGAATTTGTAAGGTGGAGGAGTCTCATACTGTTTGGAAGATTTTATTTAGTCTTGCACGCATGCTGTGGTTGATTTACAACCGCTTCTTGTACAGAAAATGATGCGTTTAAATAAATTTTCTGTGTCGTTGAAGCACTTGCAGTTACCGAATTTATGAATTGAATTTTATTAATTACTATTTAATTGTATCTTTATACAAATATTCACTTACATTTAACATGAAAAGTAAAGCTGCATATGTCTGTTAGTCCATGGCCGTCTTTGGCTGTATAGATGATATTATGAGGTAGTCCTTCATTCGGGAATCCTGGAAATGGGTCGCCTTTCTTTAAACCACCAGTCTGTTCATTTCTTCAGCGTGTAATGTAACAATGAATGATTTTCTTTAAAAATATACAACATCATACAAAAAACTCACATGATGCCAGAGGTGTCATTGAAAGATGTACCTGGTATGATAATCAATTTGTATAGTCTCTCTTTTAAAGAGATAAAATAAAATGGCACTAAGGATGATATACATTTGAACAATACGTGCACATTTTATAAGAAGTTTTAAACGTTTTTGATGAATTTTGGCAAAATACAATATTATCCATTTGCTTTTCCTTATTATGCTTACAATGCAATATTTCTAAAACAATAGCATGACCATTTTGAATATCATCTATAATGTAAGGCAAATACATTATAACATGTTTGAATGTATCAAAACACATGCTTGAAGCCTTCAACTTAATATCCCATGTCCTCGAGCCAATATAACAGAAGTATCATATGTCTGCTTATAAACAGTAATATCATATCTAAGGTGTATTGTGAAAAACATTGTTCATATTAAAACCACTTTTTACATACGAAAGTATTTCTTTGTCATCTGTTGCAATAGGATCTGTCCACGTCACTTTTACTGTTTTCTCCTTTCTCTCGGCAATATACAGTGACTGGATATCAGGGGGAGGACAAACAGTGAACGTTGGCGCTTTAAGCTCATCTTGAGTGACGGCTTTGATAATAAATGTATCATATAAGTTTATATCAACACATGCATGCATTTTCATTTCGCTCCGCGCCCCCACCACTTGAACATGTAAATTCTTGACTTTTCGTTCGGTTGGGTCGCGGGGCAAAAACACGCTAATATAAACAGGAAGTAAATAGCCTGACCATATGCAATAAAGTAAGTAAAGTTTTTTAACCTTAAAATAACAATAAAAACTGCTTTATGTATATATATTGTTATTTTAAGGTTTCAGTAACAATAGCGTCCATATAATTATATACTTAACTATTTTCATGTATCAAACTTTACAAAAATAAAAAAGTCACTTACTCTGTTCTTTGCAAACAATGTTTCCATACGTTTTATAACAGTAAATTACTTTAGCGACTGCAATTACTGCTGATACTGCACTTCCAATTGCTCCTAATGCACCTAGGAAAGCTAAGAATGCGATTCGTTTTGGTCGTATATGATGATCTGCAAAAAGGGGAAATAAGAATACAGCCATTTTCTATGTTCATTGAACTCTTTTTTTTGCATTTGACAAATGCCTCAAGCTAGCTAGTAGTGGAGGCTTTAAAGTTCTTTTCACATGATTTTTTCTCAATCAATAAAGCATGATTTTTACGGCATCGATATGACTTAAAACCTACTCGAAATGAGTAGCGAAATATTGCACATTTCTTACGTTATTTTCACAATCCTAGTTACTGGTTGATATGAATGTCAGTATCATAGTTTAAGAGATATAAGAATCACATATAGTATTGTAAAGAATTATTGAACACTTTTTCACGCTTTGTTTGGATATATTAAAACATATGTAGATCTATCTAAAGTATATAATAAACTGTTTGTACAATTAGAAAATGAAATCTGCAAAAGGGTTTGAATCAACAGCCAAGCGCACAAGGAATTCGAAAATTAGATTTTTTGGTAAATTTATTGAATTCCTGTAAAATTGTATATATAAGAAACAATTACTATTCAATTCTGAATTAGCATAGAATGATCAATTCGAATGTTGCCATCTGTTTTATGATATTTCACAGAAAATACAATTAACGACTGATACGAAACAAAAATAGAAATATTAACCTGTTCCTTTTGAAAGTTTCCAGGATCCCTCAACGCAATGGTAATACAATACGGCTTCATTTCTTGTCACCTGGCAAAGTGTGCGGTTTGGAACCATATACTCGTGAAGCTGTTCAACCGTAGTACATCGTACTGTATGATCTTCATTAGGTTTAGGTAGTAACTGCTTTAATTTGCAGTCAGAGCGAGAGGTCAATGCCTTAAGAAATATTGAATGTAAAAGATACCTATCTGCTATTCATAATTTGAGGAAATAAAAGAATCTATCTATCTAGCTTATAATACAGGGATTAAAGCAATTCCTTGTCTTACTCTACCTTTACAAAGAGATAAAACAGCAAAATGGATAACACGCAAACAATTATAGCAAACTTTATTTAAAATTATAGATTTTTTCTTAACTAAAAACTCTTTTGACTAAAAACTACTAGACAATTATTTCAATGAAGTATGATTTTTATCAAA